TCCCCAGTACCATCCTTGTTTTGCAAGTTTCTTCAGCTCTTCCGTAAGGCTTGTCACAACCATGGGACCACTACTTTGCACAGAGTCATAAACCCTTGCCACCCCAGGGGCAGAGTTAGGATCAAAATTCAAATGACAGCGCATACTTTCAGCCACATGGGCATCTGTGCCCGTGAGCCCACTGAAGTTCCTTTGGATCTGATTAGTCTGCATTGGAGGTAGCAATGGCGAGAGTGGAGGGACCTCATCATGACTTGCTCTGGGGCTCTGCAACATGACTCCTGTGGTGCCAATCAACAAGCCATTCACTGACTGGTCTACAAAGATCTCTGGGGCAACAACTAGGTCCTGGTCTACCTGATTCTCATCTTCGGCAAAAGAGCTCCCTCCCACTTGAGGAGGAACCGCAGAGACCTCCATGGGCGAAGAAGTGTCCAGACAATAGCTGCGCGATCCTTCCAAAGGACACATCCCCTCGTCTAAAGGCACGGTGTACTGAATGTAGTCCTGAGGCACAAGTCCAATAACTACAGGCACGTGTTCCTCCAGGTGGAGATGCAAGTCTCCGTGGGGAGAATCTGAACGCTTGAGGGAACCATTCTGCTCCTGGCACACAGTTTCAGCCTGAAGGTCATGGAAATCCTTTCAAACCCCGTTCAGCGCAGGACTTGGACTAGAAGAGTGGACCAAAGCTTTGACCCTCACCTCCATTTTGATACAGGTCTCCTCAGAGTTCGTGGGTCGGAGAGGCCAGGGCGTGGGGCTGTAGTGGTGACTGCGGAGGGAAGTGGACCTGATGGGCCTCTGAGCTCTGACGTCCTTGAAGACCACAGGAGCCGAGGAGGAGGAGAAGGTGTCCTCCTCAGCCAAGCCCCCCGAGGGCGTGCTGCCCTTGCCCTTGGGCTTCTGCTTCACAGAAAGTCGCCTTTTCAGGGTCCCCATCAGGCTCTCGCTCTTGGATCTGCTTTTCCCACCTTTCTCATCTTCGCTATTGATATCACAGCTGGCCATATCTTTACCGTAGCAGCTACCAAACAAGGAATCATCTTTTCCAAAGTCACTGGCTAGGGATGGCTGTTGTACTACCATGAAATCAGTGTCTTCCTTACTTTTATTCAAATTAAAAGACTTCCGGAAGGTTTTAAGACTAATTTTCTTCATTATGACTAGTTACCTAATCCAAGGGATCAATTTCTCACTGGAGTATCACACTCAAACATCTGGAAAGGCCGCAGTGCTGCATCTATATATTTTTCCAGCCTCATTTGACCACTGGAGCCATTTTCTGTGAAAGCTGGTAAACAATGCCATTCATGTTTCTAAACAGCGCTGACTCTTCAGGGCACTAACTACTTAAAATCCATTCATTCAAGCCCGCTAGGTTGTGGGTCCTGGGGGGTTAAAAATAAAATCTCCAGGTAAACTGCTGCTGCGGTGGCTGGGAACATCGGATGTTTCACCTTGAAGCAGACATAAGTTTACTTTGTTTGATTGCAAACGTATCTTTATTCCAAGGCACACAGAAAATAAAAAGCGTCTCTGGGAGCGGCCGGCGTCCCGATTCTCAGCACCGCGGCACCGGCGGGCTCCGTGCCGGCCCTGCAGACCTCTCAGCCGCGCGCCTCTCCCGGCCGAAGCCCGGTCCCACCACCTCTTCCCACCAGCCCCCAATTCCAGAAGTGGGGCTGGGAGCCCCCGATTGCCCACTGCCCTGCGCTGGCACACACGCCACCGCGCTCGCTCGGGTCTGGCGCCGGGACCTGCCCCGGGCGACCCCCGCGCTGCCGCGGGGACCCCGGCGCGTCCCCGAAGTTGCCAACTCGCGGGCGCGCCGAGAACCGGGGTCTCCAACTGGCCGCCTCCCGCCCGGCCCGGCCCGCGGCGCCCGCCGCCCCCGCCCCACGCCCGCCCCACGCCCGCCCTGCGCCCCGGCCGCGGCCTCCGGCCCGCACGCCGCCGGGAGCAGCGCCCAGGCCCCGCGGCCGCGGGCAACAAAGGGAGGCCGAGGGTCTGCGGCGCCGCAGCGGCCGCGCAGGCCTTGGCCCTCTCCCTTTATTCTTTTACACAGCAGTTATTACCATCTATGCATCTATTTATTATTGGCCTCCGCCATTAAATTATGAGCTCCTGCGAGCAGGGATTTTGTCCATTTCCCTTATCACTGTATCTCTAATATCTAGAACAATAATTGTTATATAGTAGGCACTCAAAACTTCGCTGAATGAATGAATGAATGAATGACTTATCTCAAACATCAAATCAAAGCTTTATGGCCTGCACCTTACCCCAAACTGTCAGATGCTATTCAGAGTATCCTGTGCAGAGCTATTTGCCTGTATTTAACTGAAAGCACAAAGATATCACAGCAGTGCCATTTTGTTATAGAAATGAAGAAAATAAATCAAGGTTAAAGGAAGAAGAAGCAAATGATAATATATTAAAGAGGAAAATGGGATACTAGTTATTTCACAAAGATGTTACACTTTATTTTGTGTCAATTTAACGATTAAATGTATTCATTTGGTTCATAATATTTTAGTTATTAACAATATTCTGAAGAAGTCATTGGATTTAAATATTATCCATGGTTAAGATTAATAATTGTTCTGCAGTTAGTTTTAAAAACTGTCACAAAGCTCCTAGTCCCTTACTTTAGCACTTAACAAACTGACACTCATTTGGAAAATACCGTGACCAGGCTCTTACTGCACCTCACTAGCTAGTCACATAAACAGAGAGTTGTCATGTGTTACGGACTTGACCTAGGGAACTGAGTGTTTCAGAAAGATCAAACACACTTAACTGTTGACTGATGGCAGTTTTAATGACTATGGTGAAGTTTTCTCTAGTTGTCTGTAAGAGCAAATAATCTGTAGAAACCACTGTTCACTTGTCATTTATTTGTCATTTTCCATGGTGATTATCAAAAGATAAATACTATAGTACATTAACCATAATGTGCATAATTTATAGTGGCATTGAAGAGTAGCAACACTATCAACAGTGGTCAAGTTCCAGGTCAAAAGTATGTTATAAGGATCAAGAAAGAAAAAGTAGGGCTGCAATTGTAGCTTAGTGGTAGAACATTTGCCTAGCGTGTGTGAGGCACTGGGTTCCATCCTCAGCACCACATTAAAAAATAAATAAATTAATTAAATAAGGTTATTTAAAAAAGAAAGAAAGAAAAAGTATTACCAGTTGTTTTCCTGGTAGAAAAACTATAAATCATAGAATATAAACACTAATATGACTGAAATAAGCATAAAAAAAACAAAAAGAAGAATTTAATATAGAATTATCTATACTATACAACTTTCATAGAATAAAAGGGATAATTAAGATGCATATGCATTCAAGCTTTAAGTACTGACTCAGTGGACCCGCATACTCTAGAAGTGGTTTATGGATAAGCATTCTAAAAGAGAGAGAATGTAGGACTTAGGCTAATTATAAAAGACTAAAAATGTAGTAAATCTTGGTAAAAATGTGTATTTTTTAATGTTAACTATGGAATTTCACATTTCAACACAACATTTACAATGTCAATGTTTGAGTTTAAATAGTCTGCTCAACTTTGGGCTAAAGGAAAGGTGACTAGAAAATTCTCTGATCCAAGAGTGTAAAATTAATGTCTTAATAATACAAATGAAGCTGAATTTTATGGGTACCATTTCATTTCCTTACAAGCACTTAGGATGTTGATAGTGAAAAATAAAATAACTCTTCAGAACTTTGAATATAGGACCACCACTGATTTAAAAAAAAAAAATTTAAATCATTTTCCCTACTCTTGGCAAATAACAAGCATTGGAGCTTTCAAGAATATTATATGTCTTTGGTTCTCTGTGATGCTCAAGTAAATTTTTGAGTTACTGAAATAGAAGCTTTAATCATTCTGTACATGCTACAAAAGAAAGCTCTAGAGAAACAAGAATTGCCCAAGGTTAGAAATTTCATCTGCTATTTAACTACAGGCCTCAGAATTAATCTATGAAAACATTTTTGGGAACTACATAAGGCATATGTTTGCTTTAGTTTGGCCAATCAAGGTGCAAACCAGAAGATATCTATTTTATTTATCTAACTATTTATTCCCCATCCTTTCCCCCAGTGCTGGGGATAGAACTTAGAGCCTTGCATATACTGGGCAAGTGCTCTACCACTGAGCCACATAACAGGAAATACATTATAATGAATTTCCCTGACTAGTTAGTGAACTCCCCTTACAATATGTGGTATCTCAAGAGTCTTTACAAGGTATAATTCATATTCTATCACAGAAAAAAGGTTTAGTTTGTTTCCAAACAGAAAAGAATACCTGGAGAAAATTCTGGGTGTCATATCTGAAGACCAATCAAAGAACAAATATTTCAACATTATCATACTGAAGATACACATCAGACTTTTCTGTTATTTCTAATATCAATAGCTGACATAAAAGGAAACAACCTATTATTTTATGTGTTTTATTTCTTTAGCTGTACAGAGAATTAATACTATTTTTTCCTCCTCAGGTATAAGACTCTAAAAACTCTAGGACTTAAGTGTTTTTCTTGCACAAAGGAAAAAGAATTTATAACTATTGAACAACTGCATAAGGTTCTAAAACACTCAAGAGTTTGTTTACAATTGTGGAACCTTGAAAAAGACCAGTAGGAAATAAAAACTCTTAAAAGTCTTTGAAATTGCAACAAAATACTAAGTTATAAAATCAATAACTTTTGTAAAGTTGAGATTCTAAACAATATTATTTAAACTACTGTCTTAACAAAGAAAATATTGCTTTATTTCCTGAGCAGAATATATAATAGATTAGCTAAAAGAAAAACAGTGTTTAAGAAAAAATAGGAAAATTAAATGATAAATGATAGATCCAAATGAGAATTACATGATTCACTTTCATTCTCTTTTATGAATTTGTTTTAAGAAGGTGAAAACTCTTTTTAGCATGAAATGTACATTTTCACTATGCTATACCATATGTAAATAAGTAAACATACCTGTTCTGATTTAAGTACATAAAGTTCCTGATGTAGTTTATCATTTTCACTTGATTGATCTGTCCCAGGTGAGCATTCATTTGTTACTGATGGTGAAAATAACTGTTCTTGCTTGCTTTCTCTTCTAATAGCCACATTTTCAAAAGAAATTTTCTCTTCCACTACTGTTTTTGATTCTTCTCCAAAATCTTCACCTACATTAGATAATGATCCTTGAGAATCCTTGCTTATAATAGTTACTATTCCATCTTGTAAAGAGCTTAAATGAACATCACACATGTTTATATTTTCTGCTCTATGATGGTTAATTAGGAGTTCTAGCTCTTGACATCTCAATAGAATTTTCTCTTTTTCTTGCTTTAAAGATTTGACTTCTTCACTGAGAAAATCAACCTCACCATGTTTCTGTTTTAATTGTTCAGAGAGATCAGACATTTTCTCTGACAATTCTAGCTTTTCTCGCTTGGTTACCTCAAGGTTTTCCATAAGTTCTGTTGTATCTTTCTCAACAACTTCACAGATTTCTAATGGCTCTGCGACAAAAGCTTTGTCAGTATCAAGCATGGCACTTTTCACTTTGATTGTAGCTGGATTTATTCTTTGTAAATGAAGCTCTTCATTAAGTGCTTTAAGTTTACTTTTATACTCTAATTCTTGTTTGTTTTTACTGTCTTCTAAATCATCTTTTACCTTGAGAAGGCAAGTATACTCCTCCTGTAACTCTTGATAGTTAACTTCAAAATTTTTTTCAGCAAATGAAAATGTACTTCTTTGCTTTTCAATTTCTTCATTTAGCTGAATACACTGTTGCTTGAGGGCCTCATTCTCTTTTGTAAGCATTTCCATTTCTTTTTGCCAGCTACAATCTTTGGATATGGACTTGCTGGAGTCAATGAAAATCATTTTTTCTTCTTGTTCAGCAGGAACATAAATTTTCAACATGTCCTCAATAGCTTTTTTCTCATTTTTAAGAATGTTATTTTCTGCTTCAAGTTGTGAAAACTTTTCTTTAAGGTCATCCTCTTTTTCCTTTATTTCTTTCTCCAATAATTCAATTTTAAGTTGTAATTCCTGAACTTCTTGTTCAAGCGTACCTTTTTCTTTTTTTTCTTGTCTTAATATTTCGATTTCCTCTTGGAGTTCATGCATCTGAAGGGTCATTTCTTCTGATTTTGAATCCATGGTGGACTTCTGTAAATCTTTTAGTTTTGAAATTTCCAAAACCAACTGATTCTGCTTAGTTATCAAATTGTCTTTTTCAAATTGCATTGTTTCTATCTTTTGACTCATTTCATTTTGTAAGCCATATATCTGCTGTTTATAGTGAATGCCTAAGCTATCTTTAAGTTTTTCAATATTTATTCGATGTTCAACTTCTAAATCTTCTTTTAGTTTTGAAAGTTCTTCTTCATGACTAAATAGAAGCTGTGTTCTCAGCCTCTCTAATTCAGCTTCTTGTGATTCAGCCATTCTGTCTAATACAGCATTTTTTTCTTTTTCCAACATTTCAAGTTTTAGCTTGTTATTTGTAACTTCTGCTTCATGTTTTAACTCTAGTTCTTTCCTAGATTCAGATGCCAGAACAATCTCAGCTTTTAAAGCTTCCACTATACTAAGGGACTTATGTGCTTCATTCAGTTGACTTTCTTGTTCAGCTATTATCATTCTAGCTCTCTGAATTTGGTCCCTTAAAAAGTTCAATTCTTCAAAAAGGTCATCAAGTCGTCTCTGCAGAGTAGATTTTTCTCCTGAAACTATTCCTAGTTCTTCTTGGAGTTTTTCCTTTTGAGCGTTAGTATCTTGTAATTTCATATTCAGTTCATTTATTGCCACGTTCATTAACTTTATTTGATCTTCATTAATTGTAATATTTAAATGTGATTTTAAAACACTCTCAATTTCCTCCTTACGTTGTGCTTTAAGTTCCTCTATCTGTGACATGTGTTGCTTTATTAACTCTTGTTTCATCTGTACTATCTGTTGCCCATACATTTCATCCATCTTTGCTTGGAGTTGTTCTAATCTTTTCTGCATTTCTTGTTCCACCATTCTCTGTACATCAGATTCAAACTGGCTATCTGTGTAATGATGTCTTTTCTGAAGGTCTTCAACTGTACCCATAAACTGTTTTATTTCTTCAGAAAATTGTTTTTCTTTGTGCTTAGAATTAGCCAGCTCTAATTTCATACTTGCAATTTGTTCTTGTAATTCTCTCATTAATTTTTCAGTGGCTGTGACTTGATCTTTTAGCTCAAGATTCTTTTTTTCTTCTATTATTCTTATATTTAACGCCTGGATGATTGTCTCCTTTTCCTGTAATTCTTTTTTATTTGACTTTTCTACTTCATCTTGTTCCTTTAAAAAGAAAAGAAAATGAAAAATATAAGAATGACATTTTTAGCTTCTGGCAACTTCTTATGGGTGTCTCCTTTTTATATAATTCTATAAAAAGCAACTGTTGGGCCTGCCCCCCGTTTTTCCCAGTACAAGGAGACTAGGACTTATCTACCTGACAGTACATATGAGCAAACAATATAACAGTTTTACCCTTCTTGGAAAGAAATTTCTCTTACATTGTGCTGTGATTAAATATTTAAATTTAAAAATGCAATCTAATTTGCCTAGCATGTGTGAGGCCTTGGGTTTGATCTCTAGTACCACCAAAAAAGCAAAACAAAACAAAAACCAGTCTGACTAAAATATCTATATAAACTATCACATTTTCATTTTTCTTATTAACTGGTCAACATTCTAAATATTAAGCATTTCTGATGGGTAGTTATAATACTACATACTCTCTAGACACTCTCAGAAGACACAAAAATATAAAAACCGGTCCTCCCCTGGATTCACAGAAGAAAAAAAATAAATAAATACCGGTCCTCCCCTGGATTCTAGTGATTTGAAGGTATTTCATGGACAAGTGCTATAAAATGAGAAAAACAACAAGAACTAAAGTGGATTCCTTTAAGTCTTCCTTAACTTCATTCCTGGGGTTTTAAGTGAATCAGAAATTTAGGGATATGCAATGCTTAAGTGACTGAACATCAAGTGACACCTAAGACCACTACTGTATATTTACGGCATACCAACTTGGGCTTAGACCCACAGTTCAAACAGAAATATAAAAGACCATCAGATAATTTTCCCCAGTTCCTATCTGGAGACTCAATTTTGGAACTGGAGATTAGGCTAAGACAAGACATATTAATGCATATTCATTAAACAGTTAAGAGCTGTTGTCCCAAAGCCAAGGAAATAAGTGAAATCCATATAACTGATGAAAATATAGGTAAGGAAGTAAAGTTATCTTAAGGAGACACGAGTCCTTGCCAAACAGGACTTCTAGGCGCCTTGAATGAATGTACTAAGAAAATGTAGGCATTGATCAATTGAGTATAGTTCTTGGAAGAAGACCAACGCACCGTCAACCTTTGAGAAGTCTGATCCCTCTCAAAAAACCATACTTAATGCAGAAAACAATGTTGGGAGTTACAGCGAGGAGCATTTAAGAAGTTTAGTCTACAGACATGAACATTACTACTCTGAGATGGATGTAACAGGTTATCTCAACCTCATGCCACTGAACATCTGATTCCTCCAACACCCTTTTCATCTAATACTTAATAAACAATTTTTTAAATTATTACCTGGCTTTTAAAATTCATCTGTCCATAGAAAGAAAATAAAATCCAATGAGCTTAAAATCTGAAATTTGTGATAATTATTTCTCATTGTAAATTCACAGTCTTATATTTAGACTTAAACATTAACCTCTTGAACTAATTCACCTCTGATATAGCTCAAGAAAAAAAATATGACTTCTGAGCCCAACAAATAAAGGCCAAATTTTGCACTACATAAACCAAGGTTATCTTGTGCAGCCTCTTGAGTGAGACTATGAGCTGTTGTCTTAGTGTCACATATTCCTTTTCCAATTACATCATATGTTATTACCAAGTGCCGAGCCTTCTTAATTTCTACACTAGAATGCAACAATAGTAAATTAGTTTAATCTGTTAATCCTGGTATTTCTGTCTGTACAATAAAGATAAATTTTCTCTATCTCCCAGAACGTGTTTGAGGCTAAAATAAAATAATTAAGGTATTTTATTTTTACTGAGCTTTATATAAATATATTCATATACTAGAAAGAAATTTATAAATCATTTGGAACCTATATAAAATGTAAAATCAGGACTGGGGCTGGGTCTCAGAGGGAGAGTGTTTGCCTCACGAGACGAATGAGGCACTGGGTTCAATTCTCAGCACCACATAAAAATAAATGAATCCATAAAGATATCGTGTCCATCTACAACTAAAAAAATTTTTAAAAAAGTAAAATCAGTTCATGATGGTCAATTTTAGCTAAACTGTTAAATAACAACTAGTTTTGAAAAATGTTAACATTGATATAAAAATCTGTTATAATTTTATTTCCTGATTTTCTATAAGATGAAAGGAACACTCCTCATAAAAGAAAATAACTTAATTCAACACTGTCCAACACCTAATATGATTAATAAATAACTAACCATAATTCTTCATTCAACTATTAAACACCACAAATTCACAGTTTTCTTTGTTTAGCTTTTTTCAAATTACATGGTTTTAAATCACTTGTTCTATGTTACAAAACTGACAGCCCTTCAGACAAGGATATAATCCTCTATTTTTAGAACTACACCTGAAAGAGTGGGGAATAATATACTTCCTGTTTGTGACTACTATAACACAGGAGGTTTGGAGGATTAGGATAATGAGCCTTTGACTATCAGTATAGTTACTTCAGCTGCTCTGAAAGAACTACTTCTCAAAGGGATTAAATTTTTTGAAAACTGAGAAATTAAAATATAATAAGAAGAACAATAAAAGTATTATTGCTAACATTCAAATAAAGTTTATTTTCATTACTAAAATGAATTACATAAATTTTAGATAATCTGAAATTATACTGCCTAGTGACAATAAGAAATAATAAAATCCTAGATCCGGGCACTTTCAACCTAGGCCTCGATTGCCTTTCTACTCTTACTCTCCAGAAAGACACTGCCAAAGCCTATTGCTTTCGAAGTAAATTATTTTTTGCTCCCTATACATTTTCAACATTTCAGCCTGGGTCTTTATGCCCACTCCACACCCCACAAAGAATATCCTGCCTATCTCTATTTGTCATGAATTCATAAACAATTCTCTTGATTACCAAATAGGTATTGAATAGCTGAGCTGTTCCATATATTATGTTCCATATATTATACCAATTTATGGGTAAACAAAATATAAATAACACATTATTCCAATTTATAGATCTAACTCAAATATTACCTCTCTGCTGATGTCTACCCTGAATCTTTTCCTCATAAAGCAGACCTCGTCAAAACATTCATAACACTTGTTACCTGCACTTACTTTTTATTTTGTGGTAACTTGTGTACATGCCACACCTCTTCATGGGTTCAGTGAAGAAAGGGGACATCTTAAGGTTCATCATATATCTTTTGCAAGGGTTACTACAGAATAGGTATTCTGTAAACACTTGCATAATCTTTAAATTACCTTAGTTGAAAAGCATGCCCTTCTCATAATTTTAATTTGTACATTTCCTATTTTTCAAAGAGGAGTCTCTGGAGTCAGATAACTGAGCTTTGAAATCTGGCTCTATCAATACATCACTTCTGCACCTGGATTATTTCCTTCATCTTGAGTTGTCTTGGTACCATCATTTGTAAAATGTAAATGATAAAGGTACCCTTATCTCATAGGGTAGTAGTGATGATTCAATGCATTAATATGTGTAAGAGGCTTTGAATTCTGCCTGTTGTAGAGTAAGTACTTAATAAGTGCTAGTTAACACTTTTGTTATCCAAACAATACTCTTGTCTTGGTAATTTCTCAACTTCCTGTAGAATCTTCTAAGTTTATAAAATATGCTGTATTATATGTATTTTCCATCTTCATTATTCACAAATGCTGTATTTGCCTACTTGCTCAAATTTATTTGAAACCCACAAATCCATACCAATGGTGCTTTCATAGACATTTGTAGACACACACAGAGTGATGGCAAGAAATTTGAGTTACTGTAAAACGATGTTCAGCTACATTCAAACATGGTGATCACACTGCCTTGTTTCAGCTCTCATAGAGCAAAAAAGAGGACAGAGATGGCAAGGATCAGAGTGCAGTGCAGTGCAAGGAGCTCAGAATTTCAACTCTGGCACCTGTTAATGGGGCAGCTTCAGGCAAATCACATCTAAACTTCAACTTCTCAAAAAAACAAACAAACAAAAAAATGGAATCTACTAGCATGAATTGTTTTTAAGATTAAAGATTACAATCCATGTGATACATTTCCTACCAGGAGCACTTATTGACTAAATAATTCCCCCAAACTGGAATATAACTCAAGTGAATAAAAAGAATCAACCACATTTTTTTCTAGTTTAAATTTACAAAATTTCTTTTTCAGAATTTTATAATCATAGCTAAAATAAGAAGAAATACATTTAGTTGGGGGAAGAAGGATAGAAATTCTAGTTATAAAAATAGATTCTCCTGAGACTTCAGTTTAACATAGGCAGATCACTTTTAAGGACTATTGCCCTTCTCGGACTATTCCCTGAAGACCTTAAAAGAGCATACTACAGGGATACTGCCACATCTATGTTCATAGCAGCACAATTCACAATAGCTAGACTGTGGAACCAACCCAGATGCCCTTCAGTAGATGAATGGATAAAAAAAATGTGGCATTTATACAGCATGGAGTATTACGCAGCACTAAAAAATGACAAAATCATGGAATTTGCAGGGAAATGGATGGCACTAGAGCAGATTATGCTAAGTGAAGCTAGCCAATCCCTAAAAAACAAATGCCAAATGTCTTCTTTGATATAATGAGAGCAACTAAGAACAGAGCAGGGAGGAAGAGCAGGAGGAAAAGATTAACATTAAACAGAGACATGAGGTGGGAGGGAAAGGTACAGAGAAGGGAAATTGCATGGAAATGGAAGGAGACCCTCATTGTTATACAAAATTACATATAAGAGGTTATGAGGGGAATGGGAAAAAAAAAAACAAGGAGAGAAATGAATTACAGTAGATGGGGTAGAGAGAGAAGAGGGGAGGGGAGGGGAGGGAAGGGGGGATAGTAGAGGATAGGAAAGGTAGTAGAATACAACAGTTACTAATATGGCATTATGTAAAAATGTGGATGTGTGACCGATGTGATTCTGCAATCTGTATTTGGGGTAAAAATGGGAGTTCATAACCCACTTGAATCTAATGTATGAAATATGATATGTCAAGAGTTTTGTAATGTTTTGAACAACCAATTAAAAAAAAAGGAGCAGAGTAATGAGTAGTATCATCTTTAAAACTATTACTACGAAATTCTCAATGCTTTTGAAATATATTATTTTATATACTCAAAGAGTTTGTCTCAATTATGAAATTTTGTGGTGCATATGCATAAAAAAAGATAAACACCTCCATTAAAAACTTTAAAGTTAATTACAAAGCTGCTACAAGTAGGTTGACTTCCTTAAGATACACATACCATTTCATATACTTTAATTTTCTCCTGTAAGAAATTAATTTGCATTTTGAAGTCTTCTTTCTTTTTTTGATAATCTTCTAATAGATGGTCTTTTTCTTCAAGCTGTTGTTGATGAGTGAGAATCTGTTGTTTGGCTTGCAGTAAATCTGCAGCTGTGTTACTGTGAGTGCTGTTTCGTAGAGTTTCACTAGCCTGTAACTTGAAAATAGAAAGAAACCTCAAAATATTAAATTTTGAAGTGACACTTTATCGTACCCTCAGCCCACAGGGGTTCTCTGGAAACTATGCTCCCTTCATAGGCTTACGATCTCAGTCAACATGTTTCCATGCTGTCAACATGCTGATAGGTCATGTGCACTTTGGGTAATGAGCCAAAGAATTTACCTTTCACATTATAAAGCTGAGAAAATAGGAGAAATAAGACAGGCAGACAGGCAGAGAAAAATGCGGACTGAAAGTTCTTCCTGGATTCCTGATGACTTTTCAAACTCTAGTTCCAATTTCTCTTAGAGTTCTGATTGTATTTCTGCCCTTAAGTTCTATAAACAAGCCTGTATTCTTACCTTAAATTCCTCCCTTTTGTTTAATGCAATTAGATTATAGTTCCAACTAAAGATAAATGGAATATATCCAGTTGTCAGTCTAGTTATAATTGAGAACCTAATTAACATAAAACCATACCAGGGTTGGAAAAAGTAGGGTGTAACTGCAGGTTAATTTCTGCAAAAAATATGAGATTCAAAACACATTAGTGGAATTCTTACAATTTGTATGATATCGCCCACATTTGAAAGCTATGAGCTTTAAGAAATTTGTTTTACTTCCAAATCAATCTGAAAGAAATTAATGTGCACATGGAAAAAATTTTCACTTGTTCTGGCTTTTCTATATATCTAATTCTAGAAGCAAATGCCTTTATATTGGGGAGCTCCCCCAATCTGTTACCAGGCAACACCACCAACTTGTTTTTGGAGAGGATGAAACTGAAATCTATTCTGTCATCCTCATTAATGTCCCATTTTCATCTTGAGTTCATAACTGATTACTTAATACAAGAGATGTCACTCTAACTGCAGAGAATATTTACAGGGACTTGCTGACATTCTTAATGGGTTTAAGTCATCATTTTAAAAAAAATGTGATTTATACCACAATTTTCTTTCAGGCTCATTACAAAAACATCTGTCCTGAAATCACTAAAGTTATTCTACTCTATCTTATTAAGTTAAATAAACAAAGTAACATACATGTTACCCCTATTAGTTGAATTCTAGGTGTAAAATGGGATTCTTAATACTATGTGCAAGAACCCCATTTTTCTCGTGAATGAGATAATCTTAAGTTAACACCTGTAATTCTCATTAAATACATAAACTATTATTAAAATTTCCTGGAGGGCTGGGGATGTGGCTCAAGTGGTAGTGCATTCGCCTAGCATGCGTGAGGCACTGGGTTCAAATCTCAGCACCACATAAATGTAAAATAAAGATATTGTGTCTACCTAAAAAAAATGAAAAAATAAATATTTAAAAAAAAATTCCTGTTTTTGTTTTTGTGAGCAGCAAACAAAAGCCACAGAAGGTAAATGTACCTGATGCAATCCTTCAGTCCCATAAGTGGCCCTCATTTCTTCCAGTTCTCTGTTCAGTTCTTCGGGCTCATGTTCAGGTTTCCCAACTGATTCGTTTTCTATCAACTCTAGGCGAGTCTCACTATAGTGTGCGCCTTGTTCAGAATAAGAATCAACGACACCAAATTCTTCTTCCTAAATCAATCCAATATTTTTAATAATTCAGTACTAGCAACATTCCTGAGAGAGGAATTCGAATATTGAATTCCATAGCAAAATCCACTTTAAAACATCACTCTTCACTTTGAAGTTCACTTCTATGGCAATCTGGTTTGCTATTAATGTGATATTTCCTTAAAAGCACCTAAACAGCATATCTGCAAATTTTCTTCCAATTCCATGTTATAATGAAAATTAAGTAACTTTGTTTTGTTAAGCAGTAAAGAAGATCTAATAACTTACTTTTAGAAATCACATACAGAAAGAATTACATACAGGAGAAAGCTTGGTTAGTAAGTCAAATGGTTTTAAATAATAAAAAACATTAGTATCATGAGTAGTTTTATATACTGTACCATTAATAAATTGGTAGGCTTTCCTGTTTTCACCACATTACAGCAGTCATTTACCTGTATAAAAACAATTTCCTGATATATTATGATAGACCAAATTTTATTTACGTAACAATAATATTTCTACTAACTGTGTACCTTTTGCATCTAGGGAAAATGCCTTAATAGCAAAACAAATATGGTGATTATATTTAACTGAAGTATCTAAGAGGCATATCAAATGTCAATCATTCCTCAAACATCTAAGTTCTTACACTGCAAAAGACACTTTCATTTAAGTAACTGAAGTTCTAAGTGCAGTTCCTATTTAGTCTTCAGAAAGATAACTAAAAGCTTCAAGTTACTAGAACTTCTTTTACAAAATGCTTCCTTAAAATTAGCTAAATATATTTTTAAAATTAAGCCCTATTTATTTTCAAATAAAACCATTTACTGGTATAAATTTTATTAAAGGCTAGTAAGCAAGCCAAGGGAAATAAAGAGGTAAAGAACACTCCCCTAAGAACTTTCCTCTGGGGATAGTACTACTGCAAGTCATGCCAATCCAGACAGATGTGGGGGCTTTCTTTAACATATCACCACTTGTCTGCAGCACAGATATTTTGTAGTAAGAGAAAGGAGGATGATAGACTATGTATATAGGGTTTATGGAGTGGGAAATTAATTTCTTATCAATTAATCATTTAATTGCCTTTTTACCAATAAGAGTACAAAAACCAACTTCATTCCTGCCCATATCTTAAGCCTTCACAATTCTATGTTAATAGAACCCAGGAGAATGAAACTGTTAACATTGAAATATGTAGGACAGACTAGTCAGAATGTCTAGAGTTAGGATTAAGTCTGTATGTGCCATGACACATTAAAAAGTAAAAATCCTAGGACTGAAGATGTAGCCCAGTTGTAGAGCATCTGCCTAGCATGTGCAAGGCCCAATACCCACAACTGCCAAATAAAAGGGGGAGAGGGTCCTAACTAAGAGACTTTTTAAAAATCAGTTTGATTGCTCTACTTTTATTCTAAGAATAATCTCTGAGAAATAAAGCTAAAGGGAAGGCAAAAAAACAACTTTTGTTAACACATTATTGTAATTGGTGAAAAACCACAAGAATGTAGGAATACTAATTCTAGATATAAAGTCACTTGTGATAATTTTCAAATTATAATACTTCTAAATTTCAATTAGTTTTTCATGACTCAGAAATGACACATTCTGATTTTAGTACACACTAAAATTTCTATTTTGAAGTAACAGTGTAATAAAATGAATATTTGTAAATATCATCAAAGATCATGTCAAATATCATGTTATCGGTATTACATAAATTATTTATCCAGTATAATAGTTATATCTAATACCTCTATAGCAGATATTCAGTTAGTTCTCCTTTAATTCAGTTTAAACATATTTATAATGCCCCACAATGAGTTGGTTAGGATCTATCTCCAAGTACTTTCTGGCCATCATGTTGCCCATTGTAGAGTTGTCTTGAAGGGCCTGGACTGTTATGATCTGCTGAGTTCGCTGTTCAGCCCTGAGTGCTAGTCACAATGCAGCAGGTTGAAGACAGCCTACTGGAGGATTGTCACAACCTTCATAACTAATATATTCAACTTCTTATCTAAGATTTCTTTCATAAGTTTGCAGAAGAGTTCTCAAACTTCACCTCACTCTCCATTTCACTCTTCTCATCCTCATCTTATAGTTAGTTGCAGGCCTTCCCACCAAATTCCCCAAGCTACAGCATGCAATACTCATCAATACACAATCTGAAAGCCCTGTTTCTCCACTCCACAAAAGCAGAGTTGCTATCTGATCTTTGCTCTCATATGATGAGACCTGAGTCTCCTTCAGGCAACAGACATTTTTGACAGAAAAGTGATCTCACCTCCAGACTGGGAGGTATGATAGTCAAGCAGCTCAGAAAGGCATCAGTAGTTATTGGGCGTCCTCAGAGCTTCCAGGTTTTAGAGAGTTTAAGAGAATGCCTCTGACATTTTTTTCCCTGTAGTTTTCTTTATTTTGTGCCAGCTCAGAAAAAAGCTCAAGGCAAATTTTAACAATGTCTTTGTGAATGACTTTCAAGATTTTGCTCTGCTGGAGCATTTTCTTGGGAGATGTTCAGAGGCAGGTCCTCAGAGTCAACCACACCATGGATAACGTTGAGATAATTCTGGTTTGCAAGTACAAGGCTAGCCTGAGCAACTTAGAAAGTCAGTTTCAAATAAAAACAGCTGGGAATGTAGCTCAGTGGTAGAGCGCCCCTGGGTTTAATCCCCAGTAACATACACACACCCACACCCAAACAACAAAAATAAAAACTGTAATATGTTAATTTAAGAACATAGTTTTTCGAGCTGGGATTGTGGCTCAGCAGTAGAGTGCTCGCCTAGCATGGGCAGGACCTGGGTTCGATTCTCAGCACCACATTAAAAAAATAAAATAAAATAAAGGCATCATGTTGTGTCCATCTACAAAAAAGATTCATATTCATTCTCTCTCTCTCTCTCTCTCTCTCTCTCTCTCTCTCTCTCTCTTAAAAAAAAGGACATAGTTTTTCTATTAGAAGCCTACAATAAATTCAGACTTATGAAATATACTAAGTTGCTTAAACATTCAGAGTAAAGAATAATTTTCCATGTACTCTAAATTTAGGAGCAAAGAAATGACAATCATATCTAAAAAGAATAAGATAACAAAGTGATACTTATTGCAAACATATAAAGAAGGCAGGTATTTCTTAAGAGACCAATGCCTATTTTATAGTTTATCACCTAAAATAAAAATCATCATTGTCAGGCACGGTGATGCACACCGTTAATCCCTTCTCAGGAAGCTGAGACAGGAGGATCACAAGTTCAAAGATAGCCTGGACAACTTAGTGAGAATCTATCTTAAAATAAAACTGAAAAAGGGCTGGGAATGTAGCTTGGTGACAAAGTGCTTTCCTAGCATGTACAAGGCCCTGAGTTCAATGCCCACTAACACACACGTACACACACGCATGCACACGCATGCACAACACTACAGCAACATTAATTCCAATAAACATTTATACACACACACACACACACACAAGTATTCAAAGATTTGTAAAAAGCATTACTATAAAAATCATACTAATTATAAAATTTTTACTGTGCTAAATGGCTATCTTAAAATGGTCATGGATCCTAGAAATGCAGGCTCAACTTTCCTAAAAACCAAAGTAGGGCTGCTATGTAATTAAGGATTAAGGAATTCAAACAGTTAAGACTTTAGCTAACCACTGGAAAAAGATACAGCAGTAAAATATAATTTTAATTTTTTCAATCCATTTATATTACATTATGTTAACTTATATTAAATATATATAGAAGCATATAAATTTATAAGAAATAAAGTACCAACAATCAATAATTTCAAAAAAATATCAATTTTATCTATGACATTTTTAATTGGGATATGTTAGTCTTACCTCCGAAGTGTAATCATCTGCTGTGGTTGAAATCTCACTTTCCGGCTAAAACAAAAGTAAAACATGATTACAATTATGACATTTTTCCCCTGCTAAATATCATACTTTACAAAAAAAAAAAAAAAAAAAAAAAATCCTGCTTTACTAAGACGTTGCTGTTAGTAACAATGATAGAAAATTCACAAAAATACTATTAAAAAACTAGTAAAAATTATCCAAATCTTTAAAAATTTCATTTCATTATGAATTATAATGACTTATAATAATGCATATAAAATTTATCACAAGGCATTGTTATAAATACAAAAGTACCAAGAACTTTTACATATATAGTAGATGTCATCTGTAAGCCAAAAGCATCAAAGACACCATTCCTTTAATTCATGTAACTCTTTTAAATAAAAAACTAAATCCTTAACATGCCATCAGAAAAGTTCAAGTTCTTTAAAAGAATCATCAGTTCTTGATGCTAAAAAGTCAATGACTTTGTCAAGCTTCCCTCAGGTGGATGCTAATGACTTTTCACTGCCACTACTTTCTAGTTAGAGGTAGAATGTTTTAAAATCTGGATGAATACTTACATCAAAAGAAAAGACCTGCTCATGCTTAAGCATTTCTTCATTGTTTAGAGTTCTCATTATTGTGGATTCAGGCATCACGGCTGATCCAACACCCTGAGAACTATTTATCAACATCTCCTCACTCTTTGGTTGATCAATATTCAAGCCATGAACATCATTTTTACTGCTTGAGGTTTTCTTCTTTTTTGGCTTCTTATGAGGGTTTTGTCCATCCAATCGAGCTCTTCTTTGTCGAAACTCGGCAAGCTACAGGAAAAAAGTATCATTAACATCAATGATAATTTTTCTTTGGGATCACTTTCTTTAAAAGATCAAACTATCACCAAGTTAAAATGATGATAATAATATAGACGACTTCACAGTTTCAGAATAACTATTGGATTGAATATTCGGGTTGCAAAGGTTGTAAAACTAGGTACTTGTGAATGAACTTATTAAATATTGAGGGGTAAGAAATGAACATGTCAAGTCTAAAGAAGAGGAAATTAGCTGAGTTAGGGGAATAACTATTCTATAACTAGAATCGGGGAATAGAGGGACTCTCATTCACAGTATAATCTCTGGATTTAAGATTATATGAAAATATACACAAAAACAAGGAGCTCCGAACACACTTGTTCTGTTCTACTACTTTATACAAAAGATATCGTCTATAATTATCTTTTATACAAAAAAGATAATTAGCCTATTAGCTATACAAATGCTCACCGCAGCCATATTTATAGTTGGAAAAACTTACAAGTAACTTAAAATTTTAAACAGCAGTGTTTTCTACCCTTTATCATTTGTCTGTCATCATCAGAATTTGTACCAAACCCTAGTCATTGATACATTATCATTTACTTAATATATTTTAAACAGTGTATTTTCTTTAAGTTTATTTTAAAAGGAGATGGAATCTCTGGCATAAATTGAAAGTTAATATCACTTGTTATTTCTTTTAAGAGATAAGTTGAAAATAAAAGAAATGATAAATCTATTATTGAAATTTTAGTTAGAGGTTGCTGAAGGCTATGAAAAAAAAATGGACAAAATAAAAGACTGTTAAAGGCAGACAAGCATCAAACAGATTTTCGTTATCATAAGCAGAAAGAAAACTGAAAAAGGTAAAAACTTTCTTACTATACTATCCAAAGTTTTTTAAGACCTAAAATATTTTCTTACCACCTAAAATCAGAAGTACACATTATATACCAGGTAACACTAGACTAATTATGGTGAACTTATATTAAAAATACCAAGGGGCAAGCAATTGCTATTAAAGACTTTGTGATATAATAGCAGGTATAAACTAGTATTGTAGCATATCTATTTCTTTTCATGAAAGGAAAATTACACTTCATTTTTAAAAAGATAAGGCAAGTCTCAGGCTCATAGCTTTCAATGATTATATCCAGTATGAATTTAAACATCATTATATTCATAGGCATAGGTAAATTCTGGAAAACTACAACCTTAACAACTTTTGTTGACATTTGGAGTTCAGATTTCAGGTATTTTTCCTATTGCTCACTTACATTTTATTTATTTATTCTTAAGAATTTTTTTTTTTTTTGATGGACACAATACCTTTATTTTATTTATTTTTATGTAGTACTGAGGATCAAACCCACAGCCTTGTACGTGCTAGGCAAAGGATCTATTGCTGAGCTATTACTGTATTTTTTAAAATACAGTAAGTTTTCTGATTTTTATATAAAGCAACTACTGACAAAGACTTTAATTTAATTTGAGCTCCTGAATCACTCTTAAGAGGAGAAAAAAGAAGACCACATGTAAGTTCCTTTCTGCCTTAAAAAGAGGAAATATCTGCCTAGAATAACTGTAACTATTAACCAGACCAATTACAAAGACAGCAAATAAGTTTCTTATTATCTAAAGTATTAAAGCAATCTTGCTAATGTTACTATCAAAATATGCGGCAAATACATTATTTATAAATAACATTTTAGACTTAAATTATCTGCTATAGATGAAGAAAATCATATAAACATGTCCTATTCCCTTAATAAAGATATTTAATTCATAAGTCAGAATAGCTCATGATTATACTTACAGAGTATAAAAATATATCACATTTAACATTTTCCCCAGTTATTTAGTAACTACACAGTGTGTTGAGGAACAGGTGCAAGACCAGTTGCCTCTATTTGCACATTATTAAGCTGCTGGAATGTACTTGAACTACTTGGAGCATAGCAGATCATTCTTAAAAACTCGTTCCCCAGGCCTCCTCCCACCCTTTCCGGCCACCGCCTCCCACCTCTGGCCCGGCGGTCCCCGGCTCTCCTACCAGCGCTCGGCCGATTTCGATCTTTCTCCTTCTTTCTTCGTCCTCCGTGGCTTCTGCGGGCTTCTGTTAACATTGAAATATGTAGGACAGACTAGTCAGAATGTCTAGAGTTAGGATTAAGTCTGTATGTGCCATGACACATTAAAAAGTAAAAATCCTAGGACTGAAGATGTAGCCCAGTTGTAGAGCATCTGCCTAGCATGTGCAAGGCCCAATACCCACAACTGCCAAATAAAAGGGGGAGAGGGTCCTAACTAAGAGACTTTTTAAAAATCAGTTTGATTGCTCTACTTTTATTCTAAGAATAATCTCTGAGAAATAAAGCTAAAGGGAAGGCAAAAAAACAACTTTTGTTAACACATTATTGTAATTGGTGAAAAACCACAAGAATGTAGGAATACTAATTCTAGATATAAAGTCACTTGTGATAATTTTCAAATTATAATACTTCTAAATTTCAATTAGTTTTTCATGACTCAGAAATGACACATTCTGATTTTAGTACACACTAAAATTTCTATTTTGAAGTAACAGTGTAATAAAATGAATATTTGTAAATATCATCAAAGATCATGTCAAATATCATGTTATCGGTATTACATAAATTATTTATCCAGTATAATAGTTATATCTAATACCTCTATAGCAGATATTCAGTTAGTTCTCCTTTAATTCAGTTTAAACATATTTATAATGCCCCACAATGAGTTGGTTAGGATCTATCTCCAAGTACTTTCTGGCCATCATGTTGCCCATTGTAGAGTTGTCTTGAAGGGCCTGGACTGTTATGATCTGCTGAGTTCGCTGTTCAGCCCTGAGTGCTAGTCACAATGCAGCAGGTTGAAGACAGCCTACTGGAGGATTGTCACAACCTTCATAACTAATATATTCAACTTCTTATCTAAGATTTCTTTCATAAGTTTGCAGAAGAGTTCTCAAACTTCACCTCACTCTCCATTTCACTCTTCTCATCCTCATCTTATAGTTAGTTGCAGGCCTTCCCACCAAATTCCCCAAGCTACAGCATGCAATACTCATCAATACACAATCTGAAAGCCCTGTTTCTCCACTCCACAAAAGCAGAGTTGCTATCTGATCTTTGCTCTCATATGATGAGACCTGAGTCTCCTTCAGGCAACAGACATTTTTGACAGAAAAGTGATCTCACCTCCAGACTGGGAGGTATGATAGTCAAGCAGCTCAGAAAGGCATCAGTAGTTATTGGGCGTCCTCAGAGCTTCCAGGTTTTAGAGAGTTTAAGAGAATGCCTCTGACATTTTTTTCCCTGTAGTTTTCTTTATTTTGTGCCAGCTCAGAAAAAAGCTCAAGGCAAATTTTAACAATGTCTTTGTGAATGACTTTCAAGATTTTGCTCTGCTGGAGCATTTTCTTGGGAGATGTTCAGAGGCAGGTCCTCAGAGTCAACCACACCATGGATAACGTTGAGATAATTCTGGTTTGCAAGTACAAGGCTAGCCTGAGCAACTTAGAAAGTCAGTTTCAAATAAAAACAGCTGGGAATGTAGCTCAGTGGTAGAGCGCCCCTGGGTTTAATCCCCAGTAACATACACACACCCACACCCAAACAACAAAAATAAAAACTGTAATATGTTAATTTAAGAACATAGTTTTTCGAGCTGGGATTGTGGCTCAGCAGTAGAGTGCTCGCCTAGCATGGGCAGGACCTGGGTTCGATTCTCAGCACCACATTAAAAAAATAAAATAAAATAAAGGCATCATGTTGTGTCCATCTACAAAAAAGATTCATATTCATTCTCTCTCTCTCTCTCTCTCTCTCTCTCTCTCTCTCTCTCTCTCTTAAAAAAAAGGACATAGTTTTTCTATTAGAAGCCTACAATAAATTCAGACTTATGAAATATACTAAGTTGCTTAAACATTCAGAGTAAAGAATAATTTTCCATGTACTCTAAATTTAGGAGCAAAGAAATGACAATCATATCTAAAAAGAATAAGATAACAAAGTGATACTTATTGCAAACATATAAAGAAGGCAGGTATTTCTTAAGAGACCAATGCCTATTTTATAGTTTATCACCTAAAATAAAAATCATCATTGTCAGGCACGGTGATGCACACCGTTAATCCCTTCTCAGGAAGCTGAGACAGGAGGATCACAAGTTCAAAGATAGCCTGGACAACTTAGTGAGAATCTATCTTAAAATAAAACTGAAAAAGGGCTGGGAATGTAGCTTGGTGACAAAGTGCTTTCCTAGCATGTACAAGGCCCTGAGTTCAATGCCCACTAACACACACGTACACACACGCATGCACACGCATGCACAACACTACAGCAACATTAATTCCAATAAACATTTATACACACACACACACACACACAAGTATTCAAAGATTTGTAAAAAGCATTACTATAAAAATCATACTAATTATAAAATTTTTACTGTGCTAAATGGCTATCTTAAAATGGTCATGGATCCTAGAAATGCAGGCTCAACTTTCCTAAAAACCAAAGTAGGGCTGCTATGTAATTAAGGATTAAGGAATTCAAACAGTTAAGACTTTAGCTAACCACTGGAAAAAGATACAGCAGTAAAATATAATTTTAATTTTTTCAATCCATTTATATTACATTATGTTAACTTATATTAAATATATATAGAAGCATATAAATTTATAAGAAATAAAGTACCAACAATCAATAATTTCAAAAAAATATCAATTTTATCTATGACATTTTTAATTGGGATATGTTAGTCTTACCTCCGAAGTGTAATCATCTGCTGTGGTTGAAATCTCACTTTCCGGCTAAAACAAAAGTAAAACATGATTACAATTATGACATTTTTCCCCTGCTAAATATCATACTTTACAAAAAAAAAAAAAAAAAAAAAAAAATCCTGCTTTACTAAGACGTTGCTGTTAGTAACAATGATAGAAAATTCACAAAAATACTATTAAAAAACTAGTAAAAATTATCCAAATCTTTAAAAATTTCATTTCATTATGAATTATAATGACTTATAATAATGCATATAAAATTTATCACAAGGCATTGTTATAAATACAAAAGTACCAAGAACTTTTACATATATAGTAGATGTCATCTGTAAGCCAAAAGCATCAAAGACACCATTCCTTTAATTCATGTAACTCTTTTAAATAAAAAACTAAATCCTTAACATGCCATCAGAAAAGTTCAAGTTCTTTAAAAGAATCATCAGTTCTTGATGCTAAAAAGTCAATGACTTTGTCAAGCTTCCCTCAGGTGGATGCTAATGACTTTTCACTGCCACTACTTTCTAGTTAGAGGTAGAATGTTTTAAAATCTGGATGAATACTTACATCAAAAGAAAAGACCTGCTCATGCTTAAGCATTTCTTCATTGTTTAGAGTTCTCATTATTGTGGATTCAGGCATCACGGCTGATCCAACACCCTGAGAACTATTTATCAACATCTCCTCACTCTTTGGTTGATCAATATTCAAGCCATGAACATCATTTTTACTGCTTGAGGTTTTCTTCTTTTTTGGCTTCTTATGAGGGTTTTGTCCATCCAATCGAGCTCTTCTTTGTCGAAACTCGGCAAGCTACAGGAAAAAAGTATCATTAACATCAATGATAATTTTTCTTTGGGATCACTTTCTTTAAAAGATCAAACTATCACCAAGTTAAAATGATGATAATAATATAGACGACTTCACAGTTTCAGAATAACTATTGGATTGAATATTCGGGTTGCAAAGGTTGTAAAACTAGGTACTTGTGAATGAACTTATTAAATATTGAGGGGTAAGAAATGAACATGTCAAGTCTAAAGAAGAGGAAATTAGCTGAGTTAGGGGAATAACTATTCTATAACTAGAATCGGGGAATAGAGGGACTCTCATTCACAGTATAATCTCTGGATTTAAGATTATATGAAAATATACACAAAAACAAGGAGCTCCGAACACACTTGTTCTGTTCTACTACTTTATACAAAAGATATCGTCTATAATTATCTTTTATACAAAAAAGATAATTAGCCTATTAGCTATACAAATGCTCACCGCAGCCATATTTATAGTTGGAAAAACTTACAAGTAACTTAAAATTTTAAACAGCAGTGTTTTCTACCCTTTATCATTTGTCTGTCATCATCAGAATTTGTACCAAACCCTAGTCATTGATACATTATCATTTACTTAATATATTTTAAACAGTGTATTTTCTTTAAGTTTATTTTAAAAGGAGATGGAATCTCTGGCATAAATTGAAAGTTAATATCACTTGTTATTTCTTTTAAGAGATAAGTTGAAAATAAAAGAAATGATAAATCTATTATTGAAATTTTAGTTAGAGGTTGCTGAAGGCTATGAAAAAAAAATGGACAAAATAAAAGACTGTTAAAGGCAGACAAGCATCAAACAGATTTTCGTTATCATAAGCAGAAAGAAAACTGAAAAAGGTAAAAACTTTCTTACTATACTATCCAAAGTTTTTTAAGACCTAAAATATTTTCTTACCACCTAAAATCAGAAGTACACATTATATACCAGGTAACACTAGACTAATTATGGTGAACTTATATTAAAAATACCAAGGGGCAAGCAATTGCTATTAAAGACTTTGTGATATAATAGCAGGTATAAACTAGTATTGTAGCATATCTATTTCTTTTCATGAAAGGAAAATTACACTTCATTTTTAAAAAGATAAGGCAAGTCTCAGGCTCATAGCTTTCAATGATTATATCCAGTATGAATTTAAACATCATTATATTCATAGGCATAGGTAAATTCTGGAAAACTACAACCTTAACAACTTTTGTTGACATTTGGAGTTCAGATTTCAGGTATTTTTCCTATTGCTCACTTACATTTTATTTATTTATTCTTAAGAATTTTTTTTTTTTTTTGATGGACACAATACCTTTATTTTATTTATTTTTATGTAGTACTGAGGATCAAACCCACAGCCTTGTACGTGCTAGGCAAAGGATCTATTGCTGAGCTATTACTGTATTTTTTAAAATACAGTAAGTTTTCTGATTTTTATATAAAGCAACTACTGACAAAGACTTTAATTTAATTTGAGCTCCTGAATCACTCTTAAGAGGAGAAAAAAGAAGACCACATGTAAGTTCCTTTCTGCCTTAAAAAGAGGAAATATCTGCCTAGAATAACTGTAACTATTAACCAGACCAATTACAAAGACAGCAAATAAGTTTCTTATTATCTAAAGTATTAAAGCAATCTTGCTAATGTTACTATCAAAATATGCGGCAAATACATTATTTATAAATAACATTTTAGACTTAAATTATCTGCTATAGATGAAGAAAATCATATAAACATGTCCTATTCCCTTAATAAAGATATTTAATTCATAAGTCAGAATAGCTCATGATTATACTTACAGAGTATAAAAATATATCACATTTAACATTTTCCCCAGTTATTTAGTAACTACACAGTGTGTTGAGGAACAGGTGCAAGACCAGTTGCCTCTATTTGCACATTATTAAGCTGCTGGAATGTACTTGAACTACTTGGAGCATAGCAGATCATTCTTAAAAACTCGTTCCCCAGGCCTCCTCCCACCCTTTCCGGCCACCGCCTCCCACCTCTGGCCCGGCGGTCCCCGGCTCTCCTACCAGCGCTCGGCCGATTTCGATCTTTCTCCTTCTTTCTTCGTCCTCCGTGGCTTCTGCGGGCTTCTGTTAACATTGAAATATGTAGGACAGACTAGTCAGAATGTCTAGAGTTAGGATTAAGTCTGTATGTGCCATGACACATTAAAAAGTAAAAATCCTAGGACTGAAGATGTAGCCCAGTTGTAGAGCATCTGCCTAGCATGTGCAAGGCCCAATACCCACAACTGCCAAATAAAAGGGGGAGAGGGTCCTAACTAAGAGACTTTTTAAAAATCAGTTTGATTGCTCTACTTTTATTCTAAGAATAATCTCTGAGAAATAAAGCTAAAGGGAAGGCAAAAAAACAACTTTTGTTAACACATTATTGTAATTGGTGAAAAACCACAAGAATGTAGGAATACTAATTCTAGATATAAAGTCACTTGTGATAATTTTCAAATTATAATACTTCTAAATTTCAATTAGTTTTTCATGACTCAGAAATGACACATTCTGATTTTAGTACACACTAAAATTTCTATTTTGAAGTAACAGTGTAATAAAATGAATATTTGTAAATATCATCAAAGATCATGTCAAATATCATGTTATCGGTATTACATAAATTATTTATCCAGTATAATAGTTATATCTAATACCTCTATAGCAGATATTCAGTTAGTTCTCCTTTAATTCAGTTTAAACATATTTATAATGCCCCACAATGAGTTGGTTAGGATCTATCTCCAAGTACTTTCTGGCCATCATGTTGCCCATTGTAGAGTTGTCTTGAAGGGCCTGGACTGTTATGATCTGCTGAGTTCGCTGTTCAGCCCTGAGTGCTAGTCACAATGCAGCAGGTTGAAGACAGCCTACTGGAGGATTGTCACAACCTTCATAACTAATATATTCAACTTCTTATCTAAGATTTCTTTCATAAGTTTGCAGAAGAGTTCTCAAACTTCACCTCACTCTCCATTTCACTCTTCTCATCCTCATCTTATAGTTAGTTGCAGGCCTTCCCACCAAATTCCCCAAGCTACAGCATGCAATACTCATCAATACACAATCTGAAAGCCCTGTTTCTCCACTCCACAAAAGCAGAGTTGCTATCTGATCTTTGCTCTCATATGATGAGACCTGAGTCTCCTTCAGGCAACAGACATTTTTGACAGAAAAGTGATCTCACCTCCAGACTGGGAGGTATGATAGTCAAGCAGCTCAGAAAGGCATCAGTAGTTATTGGGCGTCCTCAGAGCTTCCAGGTTTTAGAGAGTTTAAGAGAATGCCTCTGACATTTTTTTCCCTGTAGTTTTCTTTATTTTGTGCCAGCTCAGAAAAAAGCTCAAGGCAAATTTTAACAATGTCTTTGTGAATGACTTTCAAGATTTTGCTCTGCTGGAGCATTTTCTTGGGAGATGTTCAGAGGCAGGTCCTCAGAGTCAACCACACCATGGATAACGTTGAGATAATTCTGGTTTGCAAGTACAAGGCTAGCCTGAGCAACTTAGAAAGTCAGTTTCAAATAAAAACAGCTGGGAATGTAGCTCAGTGGTAGAGCGCCCCTGGGTTTAATCCCCAGTAACATACACACACCCACACCCAAACAACAAAAATAAAAACTGTAATATGTTAATTTAAGAACATAGTTTTTCGAGCTGGGATTGTGGCTCAGCAGTAGAGTGCTCGCCTAGCATGGGCAGGACCTGGGTTCGATTCTCAGCACCACATTAAAAAAATAAAATAAAATAAAGGCATCATGTTGTGTCCATCTACAAAAAAGATTCATATTCATTCTCTCTCTCTCTCTCTCTCTCTCTCTCTCTCTCTCTCTCTCTCTTAAAAAAAAGGACATAGTTTTTCTATTAGAAGCCTACAATAAATTCAGACTTATGAAATATACTAAGTTGCTTAAACATTCAGAGTAAAGAATAATTTTCCATGTACTCTAAATTTAGGAGCAAAGAAATGACAATCATATCTAAAAAGAATAAGATAACAAAGTGATACTTATTGCAAACATATAAAGAAGGCAGGTATTTCTTAAGAGACCAATGCCTATTTTATAGTTTATCACCTAAAATAAAAATCATCATTGTCAGGCACGGTGATGCACACCGTTAATCCCTTCTCAGGAAGCTGAGACAGGAGGATCACAAGTTCAAAGATAGCCTGGACAACTTAGTGAGAATCTATCTTAAAATAAAACTGAAAAAGGGCTGGGAATGTAGCTTGGTGACAAAGTGCTTTCCTAGCATGTACAAGGCCCTGAGTTCAATGCCCACTAACACACACGTACACACACGCATGCACACGCATGCACAACACTACAGCAACATTAATTCCAATAAACATTTATACACACACACACACACACACAAGTATTCAAAGATTTGTAAAAAGCATTACTATAAAAATCATACTAATTATAAAATTTTTACTGTGCTAAATGGCTATCTTAAAATGGTCATGGATCCTAGAAATGCAGGCTCAACTTTCCTAAAAACCAAAGTAGGGCTGCTATGTAATTAAGGATTAAGGAATTCAAACAGTTAAGACTTTAGCTAACCACTGGAAAAAGATACAGCAGTAAAATATAATTTTAATTTTTTCAATCCATTTATATTACATTATGTTAACTTATATTAAATATATATAGAAGCATATAAATTTATAAGAAATAAAGTACCAACAATCAATAATTTCAAAAAAATATCAATTTTATCTATGACATTTTTAATTGGGATATGTTAGTCTTACCTCCGAAGTGTAATCATCTGCTGTGGTTGAAATCTCACTTTCCGGCTAAAACAAAAGTAAAACATGATTACAATTATGACATTTTTCCCCTGCTAAATATCATACTTTACAAAAAAAAAAAAAAAAAAAAAAAAATCCTGCTTTACTAAGACGTTGCTGTTAGTAACAATGATAGAAAATTCACAAAAATACTATTAAAAAACTAGTAAAAATTATCCAAATCTTTAAAAATTTCATTTCATTATGAATTATAATGACTTATAATAATGCATATAAAATTTATCACAAGGCATTGTTATAAATACAAAAGTACCAAGAACTTTTACATATATAGTAGATGTCATCTGTAAGCCAAAAGCATCAAAGACACCATTCCTTTAATTCATGTAACTCTTTTAAATAAAAAACTAAATCCTTAACATGCCATCAGAAAAGTTCAAGTTCTTTAAAAGAATCATCAGTTCTTGATGCTAAAAAGTCAATGACTTTGTCAAGCTTCCCTCAGGTGGATGCTAATGACTTTTCACTGCCACTACTTTCTAGTTAGAGGTAGAATGTTTTAAAATCTGGATGAATACTTACATCAAAAGAAAAGACCTGCTCATGCTTAAGCATTTCTTCATTGTTTAGAGTTCTCATTATTGTGGATTCAGGCATCACGGCTGATCCAACACCCTGAGAACTATTTATCAACATCTCCTCACTCTTTGGTTGATCAATATTCAAGCCATGAACATCATTTTTACTGCTTGAGGTTTTCTTCTTTTTTGGCTTCTTATGAGGGTTTTGTCCATCCAATCGAGCTCTTCTTTGTCGAAACTCGGCAAGCTACAGGAAAAAAGTATCATTAACATCAATGATAATTTTTCTTTGGGATCACTTTCTTTAAAAGATCAAACTATCACCAAGTTAAAATGATGATAATAATATAGACGACTTCACAGTTTCAGAATAACTATTGGATTGAATATTCGGGTTGCAAAGGTTGTAAAACTAGGTACTTGTGAATGAACTTATTAAATATTGAGGGGTAAGAAATGAACATGTCAAGTCTAAAGAAGAGGAAATTAGCTGAGTTAGGGGAATAACTATTCTATAACTAGAATCGGGGAATAGAGGGACTCTCATTCACAGTATAATCTCTGGATTTAAGATTATATGAAAATATACACAAAAACAAGGAGCTCCGAACACACTTGTTCTGTTCTACTACTTTATACAAAAGATATCGTCTATAATTATCTTTTATACAAAAAAGATAATTAGCCTATTAGCTATACAAATGCTCACCGCAGCCATATTTATAGTTGGAAAAACTTACAAGTAACTTAAAATTTTAAACAGCAGTGTTTTCTACCCTTTATCATTTGTCTGTCATCATCAGAATTTGTACCAAACCCTAGTCATTGATACATTATCATTTACTTAATATATTTTAAACAGTGTATTTTCTTTAAGTTTATTTTAAAAGGAGATGGAATCTCTGGCATAAATTGAAAGTTAATATCACTTGTTATTTCTTTTAAGAGATAAGTTGAAAATAAAAGAAATGATAAATCTATTATTGAAATTTTAGTTAGAGGTTGCTGAAGGCTATGAAAAAAAAATGGACAAAATAAAAGACTGTTAAAGGCAGACAAGCATCAAACAGATTTTCGTTATCATAAGCAGAAAGAAAACTGAAAAAGGTAAAAACTTTCTTACTATACTATCCAAAGTTTTTTAAGACCTAAAATATTTTCTTACCACCTAAAATCAGAAGTACACATTATATACCAGGTAACACTAGACTAATTATGGTGAACTTATATTAAAAATACCAAGGGGCAAGCAATTGCTATTAAAGACTTTGTGATATAATAGCAGGTATAAACTAGTATTGTAGCATATCTATTTCTTTTCATGAAAGGAAAATTACACTTCATTTTTAAAAAGATAAGGCAAGTCTCAGGCTCATAGCTTTCAATGATTATATCCAGTATGAATTTAAACATCATTATATTCATAGGCATAGGTAAATTCTGGAAAACTACAACCTTAACAACTTTTGTTGACATTTGGAGTTCAGATTTCAGGTATTTTTCCTATTGCTCACTTACATTTTATTTATTTATTCTTAAGAATTTTTTTTTTTTTTTGATGGACACAATACCTTTATTTTATTTATTTTTATGTAGTACTGAGGATCAAACCCACAGCCTTGTACGTGCTAGGCAAAGGATCTATTGCTGAGCTATTACTGTATTTTTTAAAATACAGTAAGTTTTCTGATTTTTATATAAAGCAACTACTGACAAAGACTTTAATTTAATTTGAGCTCCTGAATCACTCTTAAGAGGAGAAAAAAGAAGACCACATGTAAGTTCCTTTCTGCCTTAAAAAGAGGAAATATCTGCCTAGAATAACTGTAACTATTAACCAGACCAATTACAAAGACAGCAAATAAGTTTCTTATTATCTAAAGTATTAAAGCAATCTTGCTAATGTTACTATCAAAATATGCGGCAAATACATTATTTATAAATAACATTTTAGACTTAAATTATCTGCTATAGATGAAGAAAATCATATAAACATGTCCTATTCCCTTAATAAAGATATTTAATTCATAAGTCAGAATAGCTCATGATTATACTTACAGAGTATAAAAATATATCACATTTAACATTTTCCCCAGTTATTTAGTAACTACACAGTGTGTTGAGGAACAGGTGCAAGACCAGTTGCCTCTATTTGCACATTATTAAGCTGCTGGAATGTACTTGAACTACTTGGAGCATAGCAGATCATTCTTAAAAACTCGTTCCCCAGGCCTCCTCCCACCCTTTCCGGCCACCGCCTCCCACCTCTGGCCCGGCGGTCCCCGGCTCTCCTACCAGCGCTCGGCCGATTTCGATCTTTCTCCTTCTTTCTTCGTCCTCCGTGGCTTCTGCGGGCTTCTGTTAACATTGAAATATGTAGGACAGACTAGTCAGAATGTCTAGAGTTAGGATTAAGTCTGTATGTGCCATGACACATTAAAAAGTAAAAATCCTAGGACTGAAGATGTAGCCCAGTTGTAGAGCATCTGCCTAGCATGTGCAAGGCCCAATACCCACAACTGCCAAATAAAAGGGGGAGAGGGTCCTAACTAAGAGACTTTTTAAAAATCAGTTTGATTGCTCTACTTTTATTCTAAGAATAATCTCTGAGAAATAAAGCTAAAGGGAAGGCAAAAAAACAACTTTTGTTAACACATTATTGTAATTGGTGAAAAACCACAAGAATGTAGGAATACTAATTCTAGATATAAAGTCACTTGTGATAATTTTCAAATTATAATACTTCTAAATTTCAATTAGTTTTTCATGACTCAGAAATGACACATTCTGATTTTAGTACACACTAAAATTTCTATTTTGAAGTAACAGTGTAATAAAATGAATATTTGTAAATATCATCAAAGATCATGTCAAATATCATGTTATCGGTATTACATAAATTATTTATCCAGTATAATAGTTATATCTAATACCTCTATAGCAGATATTCAGTTAGTTCTCCTTTAATTCAGTTTAAACATATTTATAATGCCCCACAATGAGTTGGTTAGGATCTATCTCCAAGTACTTTCTGGCCATCATGTTGCCCATTGTAGAGTTGTCTTGAAGGGCCTGGACTGTTATGATCTGCTGAGTTCGCTGTTCAGCCCTGAGTGCTAGTCACAATGCAGCAGGTTGAAGACAGCCTACTGGAGGATTGTCACAACCTTCATAACTAATATATTCAACTTCTTATCTAAGATTTCTTTCATAAGTTTGCAGAAGAGTTCTCAAACTTCACCTCACTCTCCATTTCACTCTTCTCATCCTCATCTTATAGTTAGTTGCAGGCCTTCCCACCAAATTCCCCAAGCTACAGCATGCAATACTCATCAATACACAATCTGAAAGCCCTGTTTCTCCACTCCACAAAAGCAGAGTTGCTATCTGATCTTTGCTCTCATATGATGAGACCTGAGTCTCCTTCAGGCAACAGACATTTTTGACAGAAAAGTGATCTCACCTCCAGACTGGGAGGTATGATAGTCAAGCAGCTCAGAAAGGCATCAGTAGTTATTGGGCGTCCTCAGAGCTTCCAGGTTTTAGAGAGTTTAAGAGAATGCCTCTGACATTTTTTTCCCTGTAGTTTTCTTTATTTTGTGCCAGCTCAGAAAAAAGCTCAAGGCAAATTTTAACAATGTCTTTGTGAATGACTTTCAAGATTTTGCTCTGCTGGAGCATTTTCTTGGGAGATGTTCAGAGGCAGGTCCTCAGAGTCAACCACACCATGGATAACGTTGAGATAATTCTGGTTTGCAAGTACAAGGCTAGCCTGAGCAACTTAGAAAGTCAGTTTCAAATAAAAACAGCTGGGAATGTAGCTCAGTGGTAGAGCGCCCCTGGGTTTAATCCCCAGTAACATACACACACCCACACCCAAACAACAAAAATAAAAACTGTAATATGTTAATTTAAGAACATAGTTTTTCGAGCTGGGATTGTGGCTCAGCAGTAGAGTGCTCGCCTAGCATGGGCAGGACCTGGGTTCGATTCTCAGCACCACATTAAAAAAATAAAATAAAATAAAGGCATCATGTTGTGTCCATCTACAAAAAAGATTCATATTCATTCTCTCTCTCTCTCTCTCTCTCTCTCTCTCTCTCTCTCTCTCTCTTAAAAAAAAGGACATAGTTTTTCTATTAGAAGCCTACAATAAATTCAGACTTATGAAATATACTAAGTTGCTTAAACATTCAGAGTAAAGAATAATTTTCCATGTACTCTAAATTTAGGAGCAAAGAAATGACAATCATATCTAAAAAGAATAAGATAACAAAGTGATACTTATTGCAAACATATAAAGAAGGCAGGTATTTCTTAAGAGACCAATGCCTATTTTATAGTTTATCACCTAAAATAAAAATCATCATTGTCAGGCACGGTGATGCACACCGTTAATCCCTTCTCAGGAAGCTGAGACAGGAGGATCACAAGTTCAAAGATAGCCTGGACAACTTAGTGAGAATCTATCTTAAAATAAAACTGAAAAAGGGCTGGGAATGTAGCTTGGTGACAAAGTGCTTTCCTAGCATGTACAAGGCCCTGAGTTCAATGCCCACTAACACACACGTACACACACGCATGCACACGCATGCACAACACTACAGCAACATTAATTCCAATAAACATTTATACACACACACACACACACACAAGTATTCAAAGATTTGTAAAAAGCATTACTATAAAAATCATACTAATTATAAAATTTTTACTGTGCTAAATGGCTATCTTAAAATGGTCATGGATCCTAGAAATGCAGGCTCAACTTTCCTAAAAACCAAAGTAGGGCTGCTATGTAATTAAGGATTAAGGAATTCAAACAGTTAAGACTTTAGCTAACCACTGGAAAAAGATACAGCAGTAAAATATAATTTTAATTTTTTCAATCCATTTATATTACATTATGTTAACTTATATTAAATATATATAGAAGCATATAAATTTATAAGAAATAAAGTACCAACAATCAATAATTTCAAAAAAATATCAATTTTATCTATGACATTTTTAATTGGGATATGTTAGTCTTACCTCCGAAGTGTAATCATCTGCTGTGGTTGAAATCTCACTTTCCGGCTAAAACAAAAGTAAAACATGATTACAATTATGACATTTTTCCCCTGCTAAATATCATACTTTACAAAAAAAAAAAAAAAAAAAAAAAAATCCTGCTTTACTAAGACGTTGCTGTTAGTAACAATGATAGAAAATTCACAAAAATACTATTAAAAAACTAGTAAAAATTATCCAAATCTTTAAAAATTTCATTTCATTATGAATTATAATGACTTATAATAATGCATATAAAATTTATCACAAGGCATTGTTATAAATACAAAAGTACCAAGAACTTTTACATATATAGTAGATGTCATCTGTAAGCCAAAAGCATCAAAGACACCATTCCTTTAATTCATGTAACTCTTTTAAATAAAAAACTAAATCCTTAACATGCCATCAGAAAAGTTCAAGTTCTTTAAAAGAATCATCAGTTCTTGATGCTAAAAAGTCAATGACTTTGTCAAGCTTCCCTCAGGTGGATGCTAATGACTTTTCACTGCCACTACTTTCTAGTTAGAGGTAGAATGTTTTAAAATCTGGATGAATACTTACATCAAAAGAAAAGACCTGCTCATGCTTAAGCATTTCTTCATTGTTTAGAGTTCTCATTATTGTGGATTCAGGCATCACGGCTGATCCAACACCCTGAGAACTATTTATCAACATCTCCTCACTCTTTGGTTGATCAATATTCAAGCCATGAACATCATTTTTACTGCTTGAGGTTTTCTTCTTTTTTGGCTTCTTATGAGGGTTTTGTCCATCCAATCGAGCTCTTCTTTGTCGAAACTCGGCAAGCTACAGGAAAAAAGTATCATTAACATCAATGATAATTTTTCTTTGGGATCACTTTCTTTAAAAGATCAAACTATCACCAAGTTAAAATGATGATAATAATATAGACGACTTCACAGTTTCAGAATAACTATTGGATTGAATATTCGGGTTGCAAAGGTTGTAAAACTAGGTACTTGTGAATGAACTTATTAAATATTGAGGGGTAAGAAATGAACATGTCAAGTCTAAAGAAGAGGAAATTAGCTGAGTTAGGGGAATAACTATTCTATAACTAGAATCGGGGAATAGAGGGACTCTCATTCACAGTATAATCTCTGGATTTAAGATTATATGAAAATATACACAAAAACAAGGAGCTCCGAACACACTTGTTCTGTTCTACTACTTTATACAAAAGATATCGTCTATAATTATCTTTTATACAAAAAAGATAATTAGCCTATTAGCTATACAAATGCTCACCGCAGCCATATTTATAGTTGGAAAAACTTACAAGTAACTTAAAATTTTAAACAGCAGTGTTTTCTACCCTTTATCATTTGTCTGTCATCATCAGAATTTGTACCAAACCCTAGTCATTGATACATTATCATTTACTTAATATATTTTAAACAGTGTATTTTCTTTAAGTTTATTTTAAAAGGAGATGGAATCTCTGGCATAAATTGAAAGTTAATATCACTTGTTATTTCTTTTAAGAGATAAGTTGAAAATAAAAGAAATGATAAATCTATTATTGAAATTTTAGTTAGAGGTTGCTGAAGGCTATGAAAAAAAAATGGACAAAATAAAAGACTGTTAAAGGCAGACAAGCATCAAACAGATTTTCGTTATCATAAGCAGAAAGAAAACTGAAAAAGGTAAAAACTTTCTTACTATACTATCCAAAGTTTTTTAAGACCTAAAATATTTTCTTACCACCTAAAATCAGAAGTACACATTATATACCAGGTAACACTAGACTAATTATGGTGAACTTATATTAAAAATACCAAGGGGCAAGCAATTGCTATTAAAGACTTTGTGATATAATAGCAGGTATAAACTAGTATTGTAGCATATCTATTTCTTTTCATGAAAGGAAAATTACACTTCATTTTTAAAAAGATAAGGCAAGTCTCAGGCTCATAGCTTTCAATGATTATATCCAGTATGAATTTAAACATCATTATATTCATAGGCATAGGTAAATTCTGGAAAACTACAACCTTAACAACTTTTGTTGACATTTGGAGTTCAGATTTCAGGTATTTTTCCTATTGCTCACTTACATTTTATTTATTTATTCTTAAGAATTTTTTTTTTTTTTGATGGACACAATACCTTTATTTTATTTATTTTTATGTAGTACTGAGGATCAAACCCACAGCCTTGTACGTGCTAGGCAAAGGATCTATTGCTGAGCTATTACTGTATTTTTTAAAATACAGTAAGTTTTCTGATTTTTATATAAAGCAACTACTGACAAAGACTTTAATTTAATTTGAGCTCCTGAATCACTCTTAAGAGGAGAAAAAAGAAGACCACATGTAAGTTCCTTTCTGCCTTAAAAAGAGGAAATATCTGCCTAGAATAACTGTAACTATTAACCAGACCAATTACAAAGACAGCAAATAAGTTTCTTATTATCTAAAGTATTAAAGCAATCTTGCTAATGTTACTATCAAAATATGCGGCAAATACATTATTTATAAATAACATTTTAGACTTAAATTATCTGCTATAGATGAAGAAAATCATATAAACATGTCCTATTCCCTTAATAAAGATATTTAATTCATAAGTCAGAATAGCTCATGATTATACTTACAGAGTATAAAAATATATCACATTTAACATTTTCCCCAGTTATTTAGTAACTACACAGTGTGTTGAGGAACAGGTGCAAGACCAGTTGCCTCTATTTGCACATTATTAAGCTGCTGGAATGTACTTGAACTACTTGGAGCATAGCAGATCATTCTTAAAAACTCGTTCCCCAGGCCTCCTCCCACCCTTTCCGGCCACCGCCTCCCACCTCTGGCCCGGCGGTCCCCGGCTCTCCTACCAGCGCTCGGCCGATTTCGATCTTTCTCCTTCTTTCTTCGTCCTCCGTGGCTTCTGCGGGCTTCTGTTAACATTGAAATATGTAGGACAGACTAGTCAGAATGTCTAGAGTTAGGATTAAGTCTGTATGTGCCATGACACATTAAAAAGTAAAAATCCTAGGACTGAAGATGTAGCCCAGTTGTAGAGCATCTGCCTAGCATGTGCAAGGCCCAATACCCACAACTGCCAAATAAAAGGGGGAGAGGGTCCTAACTAAGAGACTTTTTAAAAATCAGTTTGATTGCTCTACTTTTATTCTAAGAATAATCTCTGAGAAATAAAGCTAAAGGGAAGGCAAAAAAACAACTTTTGTTAACACATTATTGTAATTGGTGAAAAACCACAAGAATGTAGGAATACTAATTCTAGATATAAAGTCACTTGTGATAATTTTCAAATTATAATACTTCTAAATTTCAATTAGTTTTTCATGACTCAGAAATGACACATTCTGATTTTAGTACACACTAAAATTTCTATTTTGAAGTAACAGTGTAATAAAATGAATATTTGTAAATATCATCAAAGATCATGTCAAATATCATGTTATCGGTATTACATAAATTATTTATCCAGTATAATAGTTATATCTAATACCTCTATAGCAGATATTCAGTTAGTTCTCCTTTAATTCAGTTTAAACATATTTATAATGCCCCACAATGAGTTGGTTAGGATCTATCTCCAAGTACTTTCTGGCCATCATGTTGCCCATTGTAGAGTTGTCTTGAAGGGCCTGGACTGTTATGATCTGCTGAGTTCGCTGTTCAGCCCTGAGTGCTAGTCACAATGCAGCAGGTTGAAGACAGCCTACTGGAGGATTGTCACAACCTTCATAACTAATATATTCAACTTCTTATCTAAGATTTCTTTCATAAGTTTGCAGAAGAGTTCTCAAACTTCACCTCACTCTCCATTTCACTCTTCTCATCCTCATCTTATAGTTAGTTGCAGGCCTTCCCACCAAATTCCCCAAGCTACAGCATGCAATACTCATCAATACACAATCTGAAAGCCCTGTTTCTCCACTCCACAAAAGCAGAGTTGCTATCTGATCTTTGCTCTCATATGATGAGACCTGAGTCTCCTTCAGGCAACAGACATTTTTGACAGAAAAGTGATCTCACCTCCAGACTGGGAGGTATGATAGTCAAGCAGCTCAGAAAGGCATCAGTAGTTATTGGGCGTCCTCAGAGCTTCCAGGTTTTAGAGAGTTTAAGAGAATGCCTCTGACATTTTTTTCCCTGTAGTTTTCTTTATTTTGTGCCAGCTCAGAAAAAAGCTCAAGGCAAATTTTAACAATGTCTTTGTGAATGACTTTCAAGATTTTGCTCTGCTGGAGCATTTTCTTGGGAGATGTTCAGAGGCAGGTCCTCAGAGTCAACCACACCATGGATAACGTTGAGATAATTCTGGTTTGCAAGTACAAGGCTAGCCTGAGCAACTTAGAAAGTCAGTTTCAAATAAAAACAGCTGGGAATGTAGCTCAGTGGTAGAGCGCCCCTGGGTTTAATCCCCAGTAACATACACACACCCACACCCAAACAACAAAAATAAAAACTGTAATATGTTAATTTAAGAACATAGTTTTTCGAGCTGGGATTGTGGCTCAGCAGTAGAGTGCTCGCCTAGCATGGGCAGGACCTGGGTTCGATTCTCAGCACCACATTAAAAAAATAAAATAAAATAAAGGCATCATGTTGTGTCCATCTACAAAAAAGATTCATATTCATTCTCTCTCTCTCTCTCTCTCTCTCTCTCTCTCTCTCTCTCTCTCTTAAAAAAAAGGACATAGTTTTTCTATTAGAAGCCTACAATAAATTCAGACTTATGAAATATACTAAGTTGCTTAAACATTCAGAGTAAAGAATAATTTTCCATGTACTCTAAATTTAGGAGCAAAGAAATGACAATCATATCTAAAAAGAATAAGATAACAAAGTGATACTTATTGCAAACATATAAAGAAGGCAGGTATTTCTTAAGAGACCAATGCCTATTTTATAGTTTATCACCTAAAATAAAAATCATCATTGTCAGGCACGGTGATGCACACCGTTAATCCCTTCTCAGGAAGCTGAGACAGGAGGATCACAAGTTCAAAGATAGCCTGGACAACTTAGTGAGAATCTATCTTAAAATAAAACTGAAAAAGGGCTGGGAATGTAGCTTGGTGACAAAGTGCTTTCCTAGCATGTACAAGGCCCTGAGTTCAATGCCCACTAACACACACGTACACACACGCATGCACACGCATGCACAACACTACAGCAACATTAATTCCAATAAACATTTATACACACACACACACACACACAAGTATTCAAAGATTTGTAAAAAGCATTACTATAAAAATCATACTAATTATAAAATTTTTACTGTGCTAAATGGCTATCTTAAAATGGTCATGGATCCTAGAAATGCAGGCTCAACTTTCCTAAAAACCAAAGTAGGGCTGCTATGTAATTAAGGATTAAGGAATTCAAACAGTTAAGACTTTAGCTAACCACTGGAAAAAGATACAGCAGTAAAATATAATTTTAATTTTTTCAATCCATTTATATTACATTATGTTAACTTATATTAAATATATATAGAAGCATATAAATTTATAAGAAATAAAGTACCAACAATCAATAATTTCAAAAAAATATCAATTTTATCTATGACATTTTTAATTGGGATATGTTAGTCTTACCTCCGAAGTGTAATCATCTGCTGTGGTTGAAATCTCACTTTCCGGCTAAAACAAAAGTAAAACATGATTACAATTATGACATTTTTCCCCTGCTAAATATCATACTTTACAAAAAAAAAAAAAAAAAAAAAAAAATCCTGCTTTACTAAGACGTTGCTGTTAGTAACAATGATAGAAAATTCACAAAAATACTATTAAAAAACTAGTAAAAATTATCCAAATCTTTAAAAATTTCATTTCATTATGAATTATAATGACTTATAATAATGCATATAAAATTTATCACAAGGCATTGTTATAAATACAAAAGTACCAAGAACTTTTACATATATAGTAGATGTCATCTGTAAGCCAAAAGCATCAAAGACACCATTCCTTTAATTCATGTAACTCTTTTAAATAAAAAACTAAATCCTTAACATGCCATCAGAAAAGTTCAAGTTCTTTAAAAGAATCATCAGTTCTTGATGCTAAAAAGTCAATGACTTTGTCAAGCTTCCCTCAGGTGGATGCTAATGACTTTTCACTGCCACTACTTTCTAGTTAGAGGTAGAATGTTTTAAAATCTGGATGAATACTTACATCAAAAGAAAAGACCTGCTCATGCTTAAGCATTTCTTCATTGTTTAGAGTTCTCATTATTGTGGATTCAGGCATCACGGCTGATCCAACACCCTGAGAACTATTTATCAACATCTCCTCACTCTTTGGTTGATCAATATTCAAGCCATGAACATCATTTTTACTGCTTGAGGTTTTCTTCTTTTTTGGCTTCTTATGAGGGTTTTGTCCATCCAATCGAGCTCTTCTTTGTCGAAACTCGGCAAGCTACAGGAAAAAAGTATCATTAACATCAATGATAATTTTTCTTTGGGATCACTTTCTTTAAAAGATCAAACTATCACCAAGTTAAAATGATGATAATAATATAGACGACTTCACAGTTTCAGAATAACTATTGGATTGAATATTCGGGTTGCAAAGGTTGTAAAACTAGGTACTTGTGAATGAACTTATTAAATATTGAGGGGTAAGAAATGAACATGTCAAGTCTAAAGAAGAGGAAATTAGCTGAGTTAGGGGAATAACTATTCTATAACTAGAATCGGGGAATAGAGGGACTCTCATTCACAGTATAATCTCTGGATTTAAGATTATATGAAAATATACACAAAAACAAGGAGCTCCGAACACACTTGTTCTGTTCTACTACTTTATACAAAAGATATCGTCTATAATTATCTTTTATACAAAAAAGATAATTAGCCTATTAGCTATACAAATGCTCACCGCAGCCATATTTATAGTTGGAAAAACTTACAAGTAACTTAAAATTTTAAACAGCAGTGTTTTCTACCCTTTATCATTTGTCTGTCATCATCAGAATTTGTACCAAACCCTAGTCATTGATACATTATCATTTACTTAATATATTTTAAACAGTGTATTTTCTTTAAGTTTATTTTAAAAGGAGATGGAATCTCTGGCATAAATTGAAAGTTAATATCACTTGTTATTTCTTTTAAGAGATAAGTTGAAAATAAAAGAAATGATAAATCTATTATTGAAATTTTAGTTAGAGGTTGCTGAAGGCTATGAAAAAAAAATGGACAAAATAAAAGACTGTTAAAGGCAGACAAGCATCAAACAGATTTTCGTTATCATAAGCAGAAAGAAAACTGAAAAAGGTAAAAACTTTCTTACTATACTATCCAAAGTTTTTTAAGACCTAAAATATTTTCTTACCACCTAAAATCAGAAGTACACATTATATACCAGGTAACACTAGACTAATTATGGTGAACTTATATTAAAAATACCAAGGGGCAAGCAATTGCTATTAAAGACTTTGTGATATAATAGCAGGTATAAACTAGTATTGTAGCATATCTATTTCTTTTCATGAAAGGAAAATTACACTTCATTTTTAAAAAGATAAGGCAAGTCTCAGGCTCATAGCTTTCAATGATTATATCCAGTATGAATTTAAACATCATTATATTCATAGGCATAGGTAAATTCTGGAAAACTACAACCTTAACAACTTTTGTTGACATTTGGAGTTCAGATTTCAGGTATTTTTCCTATTGCTCACTTACATTTTATTTATTTATTCTTAAGAATTTTTTTTTTTTTTGATGGACACAATACCTTTATTTTATTTATTTTTATGTAGTACTGAGGATCAAACCCACAGCCTTGTACGTGCTAGGCAAAGGATCTATTGCTGAGCTATTACTGTATTTTTTAAAATACAGTAAGTTTTCTGATTTTTATATAAAGCAACTACTGACAAAGACTTTAATTTAATTTGAGCTCCTGAATCACTCTTAAGAGGAGAAAAAAGAAGACCACATGTAAGTTCCTTTCTGCCTTAAAAAGAGGAAATATCTGCCTAGAATAACTGTAACTATTAACCAGACCAATTACAAAGACAGCAAATAAGTTTCTTATTATCTAAAGTATTAAAGCAATCTTGCTAATGTTACTATCAAAATATGCGGCAAATACATTATTTATAAATAACATTTTAGACTTAAATTATCTGCTATAGATGAAGAAAATCATATAAACATGTCCTATTCCCTTAATAAAGATATTTAATTCATAAGTCAGAATAGCTCATGATTATACTTACAGAGTATAAAAATATATCACATTTAACATTTTCCCCAGTTATTTAGTAACTACACAGTGTGTTGAGGAACAGGTGCAAGACCAGTTGCCTCTATTTGCACATTATTAAGCTGCTGGAATGTACTTGAACTACTTGGAGCATAGCAGATCATTCTTAAAAACTCGTTCCCCAGGCCTCCTCCCACCCTTTCCGGCCACCGCCTCCCACCTCTGGCCCGGCGGTCCCCGGCTCTCCTACCAGCGCTCGGCCGATTTCGATCTTTCTCCTTCTTTCTTCGTCCTCCGTGGCTTCTGCGGGCTTCTGTTAACATTGAAATATGTAGGACAGACTAGTCAGAATGTCTAGAGTTAGGATTAAGTCTGTATGTGCCATGACACATTAAAAAGTAAAAATCCTAGGACTGAAGATGTAGCCCAGTTGTAGAGCATCTGCCTAGCATGTGCAAGGCCCAATACCCACAACTGCCAAATAAAAGGGGGAGAGGGTCCTAACTAAGAGACTTTTTAAAAATCAGTTTGATTGCTCTACTTTTATTCTAAGAATAATCTCTGAGAAATAAAGCTAAAGGGAAGGCAAAAAAACAACTTTTGTTAACACATTATTGTAATTGGTGAAAAACCACAAGAATGTAGGAATACTAATTCTAGATATAAAGTCACTTGTGATAATTTTCAAATTATAATACTTCTAAATTTCAATTAGTTTTTCATGACTCAGAAATGACACATTCTGATTTTAGTACACACTAAAATTTCTATTTTGAAGTAACAGTGTAATAAAATGAATATTTGTAAATATCATCAAAGATCATGTCAAATATCATGTTATCGGTATTACATAAATTATTTATCCAGTATAATAGTTATATCTAATACCTCTATAGCAGATATTCAGTTAGTTCTCCTTTAATTCAGTTTAAACATATTTATAATGCCCCACAATGAGTTGGTTAGGATCTATCTCCAAGTACTTTCTGGCCATCATGTTGCCCATTGTAGAGTTGTCTTGAAGGGCCTGGACTGTTATGATCTGCTGAGTTCGCTGTTCAGCCCTGAGTGCTAGTCACAATGCAGCAGGTTGAAGACAGCCTACTGGAGGATTGTCACAACCTTCATAACTAATATATTCAACTTCTTATCTAAGATTTCTTTCATAAGTTTGCAGAAGAGTTCTCAAACTTCACCTCACTCTCCATTTCACTCTTCTCATCCTCATCTTATAGTTAGTTGCAGGCCTTCCCACCAAATTCCCCAAGCTACAGCATGCAATACTCATCAATACACAATCTGAAAGCCCTGTTTCTCCACTCCACAAAAGCAGAGTTGCTATCTGATCTTTGCTCTCATATGATGAGACCTGAGTCTCCTTCAGGCAACAGACATTTTTGACAGAAAAGTGATCTCACCTCCAGACTGGGAGGTATGATAGTCAAGCAGCTCAGAAAGGCATCAGTAGTTATTGGGCGTCCTCAGAGCTTCCAGGTTTTAGAGAGTTTAAGAGAATGCCTCTGACATTTTTTTCCCTGTAGTTTTCTTTATTTTGTGCCAGCTCAGAAAAAAGCTCAAGGCAAATTTTAACAATGTCTTTGTGAATGACTTTCAAGATTTTGCTCTGCTGGAGCATTTTCTTGGGAGATGTTCAGAGGCAGGTCCTCAGAGTCAACCACACCATGGATAACGTTGAGATAATTCTGGTTTGCAAGTACAAGGCTAGCCTGAGCAACTTAGAAAGTCAGTTTCAAATAAAAACAGCTGGGAATGTAGCTCAGTGGTAGAGCGCCCCTGGGTTTAATCCCCAGTAACATACACACACCCACACCCAAACAACAAAAATAAAAACTGTAATATGTTAATTTAAGAACATAGTTTTTCGAGCTGGGATTGTGGCTCAGCAGTAGAGTGCTCGCCTAGCATGGGCAGGACCTGGGTTCGATTCTCAGCACCACATTAAAAAAATAAAATAAAATAAAGGCATCATGTTGTGTCCATCTACAAAAAAGATTCATATTCATTCTCTCTCTCTCTCTCTCTCTCTCTCTCTCTCTCTCTCTCTCTCTTAAAAAAAAGGACATAGTTTTTCTATTAGAAGCCTACAATAAATTCAGACTTATGAAATATACTAAGTTGCTTAAACATTCAGAGTAAAGAATAATTTTCCATGTACTCTAAATTTAGGAGCAAAGAAATGACAATCATATCTAAAAAGAATAAGATAACAAAGTGATACTTATTGCAAACATATAAAGAAGGCAGGTATTTCTTAAGAGACCAATGCCTATTTTATAGTTTATCACCTAAAATAAAAATCATCATTGTCAGGCACGGTGATGCACACCGTTAATCCCTTCTCAGGAAGCTGAGACAGGAGGATCACAAGTTCAAAGATAGCCTGGACAACTTAGTGAGAATCTATCTTAAAATAAAACTGAAAAAGGGCTGGGAATGTAGCTTGGTGACAAAGTGCTTTCCTAGCATGTACAAGGCCCTGAGTTCAATGCCCACTAACACACACGTACACACACGCATGCACACGCATGCACAACACTACAGCAACATTAATTCCAATAAACATTTATACACACACACACACACACACAAGTATTCAAAGATTTGTAAAAAGCATTACTATAAAAATCATACTAATTATAAAATTTTTACTGTGCTAAATGGCTATCTTAAAATGGTCATGGATCCTAGAAATGCAGGCTCAACTTTCCTAAAAACCAAAGTAGGGCTGCTATGTAATTAAGGATTAAGGAATTCAAACAGTTAAGACTTTAGCTAACCACTGGAAAAAGATACAGCAGTAAAATATAATTTTAATTTTTTCAATCCATTTATATTACATTATGTTAACTTATATTAAATATATATAGAAGCATATAAATTTATAAGAAATAAAGTACCAACAATCAATAATTTCAAAAAAATATCAATTTTATCTATGACATTTTTAATTGGGATATGTTAGTCTTACCTCCGAAGTGTAATCATCTGCTGTGGTTGAAATCTCACTTTCCGGCTAAAACAAAAGTAAAACATGATTACAATTATGACATTTTTCCCCTGCTAAATATCATACTTTACAAAAAAAAAAAAAAAAAAAAAAAAATCCTGCTTTACTAAGACGTTGCTGTTAGTAACAATGATAGAAAATTCACAAAAATACTATTAAAAAACTAGTAAAAATTATCCAAATCTTTAAAAATTTCATTTCATTATGAATTATAATGACTTATAATAATGCATATAAAATTTATCACAAGGCATTGTTATAAATACAAAAGTACCAAGAACTTTTACATATATAGTAGATGTCATCTGTAAGCCAAAAGCATCAAAGACACCATTCCTTTAATTCATGTAACTCTTTTAAATAAAAAACTAAATCCTTAACATGCCATCAGAAAAGTTCAAGTTCTTTAAAAGAATCATCAGTTCTTGATGCTAAAAAGTCAATGACTTTGTCAAGCTTCCCTCAGGTGGATGCTAATGACTTTTCACTGCCACTACTTTCTAGTTAGAGGTAGAATGTTTTAAAATCTGGATGAATACTTACATCAAAAGAAAAGACCTGCTCATGCTTAAGCATTTCTTCATTGTTTAGAGTTCTCATTATTGTGGATTCAGGCATCACGGCTGATCCAACACCCTGAGAACTATTTATCAACATCTCCTCACTCTTTGGTTGATCAATATTCAAGCCATGAACATCATTTTTACTGCTTGAGGTTTTCTTCTTTTTTGGCTTCTTATGAGGGTTTTGTCCATCCAATCGAGCTCTTCTTTGTCGAAACTCGGCAAGCTACAGGAAAAAAGTATCATTAACATCAATGATAATTTTTCTTTGGGATCACTTTCTTTAAAAGATCAAACTATCACCAAGTTAAAATGATGATAATAATATAGACGACTTCACAGTTTCAGAATAACTATTGGATTGAATATTCGGGTTGCAAAGGTTGTAAAACTAGGTACTTGTGAATGAACTTATTAAATATTGAGGGGTAAGAAATGAACATGTCAAGTCTAAAGAAGAGGAAATTAGCTGAGTTAGGGGAATAACTATTCTATAACTAGAATCGGGGAATAGAGGGACTCTCATTCACAGTATAATCTCTGGATTTAAGATTATATGAAAATATACACAAAAACAAGGAGCTCCGAACACACTTGTTCTGTTCTACTACTTTATACAAAAGATATCGTCTATAATTATCTTTTATACAAAAAAGATAATTAGCCTATTAGCTATACAAATGCTCACCGCAGCCATATTTATAGTTGGAAAAACTTACAAGTAACTTAAAATTTTAAACAGCAGTGTTTTCTACCCTTTATCATTTGTCTGTCATCATCAGAATTTGTACCAAACCCTAGTCATTGATACATTATCATTTACTTAATATATTTTAAACAGTGTATTTTCTTTAAGTTTATTTTAAAAGGAGATGGAATCTCTGGCATAAATTGAAAGTTAATATCACTTGTTATTTCTTTTAAGAGATAAGTTGAAAATAAAAGAAATGATAAATCTATTATTGAAATTTTAGTTAGAGGTTGCTGAAGGCTATGAAAAAAAAATGGACAAAATAAAAGACTGTTAAAGGCAGACAAGCATCAAACAGATTTTCGTTATCATAAGCAGAAAGAAAACTGAAAAAGGTAAAAACTTTCTTACTATACTATCCAAAGTTTTTTAAGACCTAAAATATTTTCTTACCACCTAAAATCAGAAGTACACATTATATACCAGGTAACACTAGACTAATTATGGTGAACTTATATTAAAAATACCAAGGGGCAAGCAATTGCTATTAAAGACTTTGTGATATAATAGCAGGTATAAACTAGTATTGTAGCATATCTATTTCTTTTCATGAAAGGAAAATTACACTTCATTTTTAAAAAGATAAGGCAAGTCTCAGGCTCATAGCTTTCAATGATTATATCCAGTATGAATTTAAACATCATTATATTCATAGGCATAGGTAAATTCTGGAAAACTACAACCTTAACAACTTTTGTTGACATTTGGAGTTCAGATTTCAGGTATTTTTCCTATTGCTCACTTACATTTTATTTATTTATTCTTAAGAATTTTTTTTTTTTTTGATGGACACAATACCTTTATTTTATTTATTTTTATGTAGTACTGAGGATCAAACCCACAGCCTTGTACGTGCTAGGCAAAGGATCTATTGCTGAGCTATTACTGTATTTTTTAAAATACAGTAAGTTTTCTGATTTTTATATAAAGCAACTACTGACAAAGACTTTAATTTAATTTGAGCTCCTGAATCACTCTTAAGAGGAGAAAAAAGAAGACCACATGTAAGTTCCTTTCTGCCTTAAAAAGAGGAAATATCTGCCTAGAATAACTGTAACTATTAACCAGACCAATTACAAAGACAGCAAATAAGTTTCTTATTATCTAAAGTATTAAAGCAATCTTGCTAATGTTACTATCAAAATATGCGGCAAATACATTATTTATAAATAACATTTTAGACTTAAATTATCTGCTATAGATGAAGAAAATCATATAAACATGTCCTATTCCCTTAATAAAGATATTTAATTCATAAGTCAGAATAGCTCATGATTATACTTACAGAGTATAAAAATATATCACATTTAACATTTTCCCCAGTTATTTAGTAACTACACAGTGTGTTGAGGAACAGGTGCAAGACCAGTTGCCTCTATTTGCACATTATTAAGCTGCTGGAATGTACTTGAACTACTTGGAGCATAGCAGATCATTCTTAAAAACTCGTTCCCCAGGCCTCCTCCCACCCTTTCCGGCCACCGCCTCCCACCTCTGGCCCGGCGGTCCCCGGCTCTCCTACCAGCGCTCGGCCGATTTCGATCTTTCTCCTTCTTTCTTCGTCCTCCGTGGCTTCTGCGGGCTTCTGTTAACATTGAAATATGTAGGACAGACTAGTCAGAATGTCTAGAGTTAGGATTAAGTCTGTATGTGCCATGACACATTAAAAAGTAAAAATCCTAGGACTGAAGATGTAGCCCAGTTGTAGAGCATCTGCCTAGCATGTGCAAGGCCCAATACCCACAACTGCCAAATAAAAGGGGGAGAGGGTCCTAACTAAGAGACTTTTTAAAAATCAGTTTGATTGCTCTACTTTTATTCTAAGAATAATCTCTGAGAAATAAAGCTAAAGGGAAGGCAAAAAAACAACTTTTGTTAACACATTATTGTAATTGGTGAAAAACCACAAGAATGTAGGAATACTAATTCTAGATATAAAGTCACTTGTGATAATTTTCAAATTATAATACTTCTAAATTTCAATTAGTTTTTCATGACTCAGAAATGACACATTCTGATTTTAGTACACACTAAAATTTCTATTTTGAAGTAACAGTGTAATAAAATGAATATTTGTAAATATCATCAAAGATCATGTCAAATATCATGTTATCGGTATTACATAAATTATTTATCCAGTATAATAGTTATATCTAATACCTCTATAGCAGATATTCAGTTAGTTCTCCTTTAATTCAGTTTAAACATATTTATAATGCCCCACAATGAGTTGGTTAGGATCTATCTCCAAGTACTTTCTGGCCATCATGTTGCCCATTGTAGAGTTGTCTTGAAGGGCCTGGACTGTTATGATCTGCTGAGTTCGCTGTTCAGCCCTGAGTGCTAGTCACAATGCAGCAGGTTGAAGACAGCCTACTGGAGGATTGTCACAACCTTCATAACTAATATATTCAACTTCTTATCTAAGATTTCTTTCATAAGTTTGCAGAAGAGTTCTCAAACTTCACCTCACTCTCCATTTCACTCTTCTCATCCTCATCTTATAGTTAGTTGCAGGCCTTCCCACCAAATTCCCCAAGCTACAGCATGCAATACTCATCAATACACAATCTGAAAGCCCTGTTTCTCCACTCCACAAAAGCAGAGTTGCTATCTGATCTTTGCTCTCATATGATGAGACCTGAGTCTCCTTCAGGCAACAGACATTTTTGACAGAAAAGTGATCTCACCTCCAGACTGGGAGGTATGATAGTCAAGCAGCTCAGAAAGGCATCAGTAGTTATTGGGCGTCCTCAGAGCTTCCAGGTTTTAGAGAGTTTAAGAGAATGCCTCTGACATTTTTTTCCCTGTAGTTTTCTTTATTTTGTGCCAGCTCAGAAAAAAGCTCAAGGCAAATTTTAACAATGTCTTTGTGAATGACTTTCAAGATTTTGCTCTGCTGGAGCATTTTCTTGGGAGATGTTCAGAGGCAGGTCCTCAGAGTCAACCACACCATGGATAACGTTGAGATAATTCTGGTTTGCAAGTACAAGGCTAGCCTGAGCAACTTAGAAAGTCAGTTTCAAATAAAAACAGCTGGGAATGTAGCTCAGTGGTAGAGCGCCCCTGGGTTTAATCCCCAGTAACATACACACACCCACACCCAAACAACAAAAATAAAAACTGTAATATGTTAATTTAAGAACATAGTTTTTCGAGCTGGGATTGTGGCTCAGCAGTAGAGTGCTCGCCTAGCATGGGCAGGACCTGGGTTCGATTCTCAGCACCACATTAAAAAAATAAAATAAAATAAAGGCATCATGTTGTGTCCATCTACAAAAAAGATTCATATTCATTCTCTCTCTCTCTCTCTCTCTCTCTCTCTCTCTCTCTCTCTCTCTTAAAAAAAAGGACATAGTTTTTCTATTAGAAGCCTACAATAAATTCAGACTTATGAAATATACTAAGTTGCTTAAACATTCAGAGTAAAGAATAATTTTCCATGTACTCTAAATTTAGGAGCAAAGAAATGACAATCATATCTAAAAAGAATAAGATAACAAAGTGATACTTATTGCAAACATATAAAGAAGGCAGGTATTTCTTAAGAGACCAATGCCTATTTTATAGTTTATCACCTAAAATAAAAATCATCATTGTCAGGCACGGTGATGCACACCGTTAATCCCTTCTCAGGAAGCTGAGACAGGAGGATCACAAGTTCAAAGATAGCCTGGACAACTTAGTGAGAATCTATCTTAAAATAAAACTGAAAAAGGGCTGGGAATGTAGCTTGGTGACAAAGTGCTTTCCTAGCATGTACAAGGCCCTGAGTTCAATGCCCACTAACACACACGTACACACACGCATGCACACGCATGCACAACACTACAGCAACATTAATTCCAATAAACATTTATACACACACACACACACACAAGTATTCAAAGATTTGTAAAAAGCATTACTATAAAAATCATACTAATTATAAAATTTTTACTGTGCTAAATGGCTATCTTAAAATGGTCATGGATCCTAGAAATGCAGGCTCAACTTTCCTAAAAACCAAAGTAGGGCTGCTATGTAATTAAGGATTAAGGAATTCAAACAGTTAAGACTTTAGCTAACCACTGGAAAAAGATACAGCAGTAAAATATAATTTTAATTTTTTCAATCCATTTATATTACATTATGTTAACTTATATTAAATATATATAGAAGCATATAAATTTATAAGAAATAAAGTACCAACAATCAATAATTTCAAAAAAATATCAATTTTATCTATGACATTTTTAATTGGGATATGTTAGTCTTACCTCCGAAGTGTAATCATCTGCTGTGGTTGAAATCTCACTTTCCGCCAAAAAAAAAAGAAAAACATGATAAAAATTATGACATTTTTCCCCTGCTAAATATCATACTTTAAAAAAAAAAAAAAAAAAAAAAAAAAATCCTGCTTTACTAAGACGTTGCTGTTAGTAACAATGATAGAAAATTCACAAAAATACTATTAAAAAACTAGTAAAAATTATCCAAATCTTTAAAAATTTCATTTCATTATGAATTATAATGACTTATAATAATGCATATAAAATTTATCACAAGGCATTGTTATAAATACAAAAGTACCAAGAACTTTTACATATATAGTAGATGTCATCTGTAAGCCAAAAGCATCAAAGACACCATTCCTTTAATTCATGTAACTCTTTTAAATAAAAAACTAAATCCTTAACATGCCATCAGAAAAGTTCAAGTTCTTTAAAAGAATCATCAGTTCTTGATGCTAAAAAGTCAATGACTTTGTCAAGCTTCCCTCAGGTGGATGCTAATGACTTTTCACTGCCACTACTTTCTAGTTAGAGGTAGAATGTTTTAAAATCTGGATGAATACTTACATCAAAAGAAAAGACCTGCTCATGCTTAAGCATTTCTTCATTGTTTAGAGTTCTCATTATTGTGGATTCAGGCATCACGGCTGATCCAACACCCTGAGAACTATTTATCAACATCTCCTCACTCTTTGGTTGATCAATATTCAAGCCATGAACATCATTTTTACTGCTTGAGGTTTTCTTCTTTTTTGGCTTCTTATGAGGGTTTTGTCCATCCAATCGAGCTCTTCTTTGTCGAAACTCGGCAAGCTACAGGAAAAAAGTATCATTAACATCAATGATAATTTTTCTTTGGGATCACTTTCTTTAAAAGATCAAACTATCACCAAGTTAAAATGATGATAATAATATAGACGACTTCACAGTTTCAGAATAACTATTGGATTGAATATTCGGGTTGCAAAGGTTGTAAAACTAGGTACTTGTGAATGAACTTATTAAATATTGAGGGGTAAGAAATGAACATGTCAAGTCTAAAGAAGAGGAAATTAGCTGAGTTAGGGGAATAACTATTCTATAACTAGAATCGGGGAATAGAGGGACTCTCATTCACAGTATAATCTCTGGATTTAAGATTATATGAAAATATACACAAAAACAAGGAGCTCCGAACACACTTGTTCTGTTCTACTACTTTATACAAAAGATATCGTCTATAATTATCTTTTATACAAAAAAGATAATTAGCCTATTAGCTATACAAATGCTCACCGCAGCCATATTTATAGTTGGAAAAACTTACAAGTAACTTAAAATTTTAAACAGCAGTGTTTTCTACCCTTTATCATTTGTCTGTCATCATCAGAATTTGTACCAAACCCTAGTCATTGATACATTATCATTTACTTAATATATTTTAAACAGTGTATTTTCTTTAAGTTTATTTTAAAAGGAGATGGAATCTCTGGCATAAATTGAAAGTTAATATCACTTGTTATTTCTTTTAAGAGATAAGTTGAAAATAAAAGAAATGATAAATCTATTATTGAAATTTTAGTTAGAGGTTGCTGAAGGCTATGAAAAAAAAATGGACAAAATAAAAGACTGTTAAAGGCAGACAAGCATCAAACAGATTTTCGTTATCATAAGCAGAAAGAAAACTGAAAAAGGTAAAAACTTTCTTACTATACTATCCAAAGTTTTTTAAGACCTAAAATATTTTCTTACCACCTAAAATCAGAAGTACACATTATATACCAGGTAACACTAGACTAATTATGGTGAACTTATATTAAAAATACCAAGGGGCAAGCAATTGCTATTAAAGACTTTGTGATATAATAGCAGGTATAAACTAGTATTGTAGCATATCTATTTCTTTTCATGAAAGGAAAATTACACTTCATTTTTAAAAAGATAAGGCAAGTCTCAGGCTCATAGCTTTCAATGATTATATCCAGTATGAATTTAAACATCATTATATTCATAGGCATAGGTAAATTCTGGAAAACTACAACCTTAACAACTTTTGTTGACATTTGGAGTTCAGATTTCAGGTATTTTTCCTATTGCTCACTTACATTTTATTTATTTATTCTTAAGAATTTTTTTTTTTTTTGATGGACACAATACCTTTATTTTATTTATTTTTATGTAGTACTGAGGATCAAACCCACAGCCTTGTACGTGCTAGGCAAAGGATCTATTGCTGAGCTATTACTGTATTTTTTAAAATACAGTAAGTTTTCTGATTTTTATATAAAGCAACTACTGACAAAGACTTTAATTTAATTTGAGCTCCTGAATCACTCTTAAGAGGAGAAAAAAGAAGACCACATGTAAGTTCCTTTCTGCCTTAAAAAGAGGAAATATCTGCCTAGAATAACTGTAACTATTAACCAGACCAATTACAAAGACAGCAAATAAGTTTCTTATTATCTAAAGTATTAAAGCAATCTTGCTAATGTTACTATCAAAATATGCGGCAAATACATTATTTATAAATAACATTTTAGACTTAAATTATCTGCTATAGATGAAGAAAATCATATAAACATGTCCTATTCCCTTAATAAAGATATTTAATTCATAAGTCAGAATAGCTCATGATTATACTTACAGAGTATAAAAATATATCACATTTAACATTTTCCCCAGTTATTTAGTAACTACACAGTGTGTTGAGGAACAGGTGCAAGACCAGTTGCCTCTATTTGCACATTATTAAGCTGCTGGAATGTACTTGAACTACTTGGAGCATAGCAGATCATTCTTAAAAACTCGTTCCCCAGGCCTCCTCCCACCCTTTCCGGCCACCGCCTCCCACCTCTGGCCCGGCGGTCCCCGGCTCTCCTACCAGCGCTCGGCCGATTTCGATCTTTCTCCTTCTTTCTTCGTCCTCCGTGGCTTCTGCGGGCTTCTGTTAACATTGAAATATGTAGGACAGACTAGTCAGAATGTCTAGAGTTAGGATTAAGTCTGTATGTGCCATGACACATTAAAAAGTAAAAATCCTAGGACTGAAGATGTAGCCCAGTTGTAGAGCATCTGCCTAGCATGTGCAAGGCCCAATACCCACAACTGCCAAATAAAAGGGGGAGAGGGTCCTAACTAAGAGACTTTTTAAAAATCAGTTTGATTGCTCTACTTTTATTCTAAGAATAATCTCTGAGAAATAAAGCTAAAGGGAAGGCAAAAAAACAACTTTTGTTAACACATTATTGTAATTGGTGAAAAACCACAAGAATGTAGGAATACTAATTCTAGATATAAAGTCACTTGTGATAATTTTCAAATTATAATACTTCTAAATTTCAATTAGTTTTTCATGACTCAGAAATGACACATTCTGATTTTAGTACACACTAAAATTTCTATTTTGAAGTAACAGTGTAATAAAATGAATATTTGTAAATATCATCAAAGATCATGTCAAATATCATGTTATCGGTATTACATAAATTATTTATCCAGTATAATAGTTATATCTAATACCTCTATAGCAGATATTCAGTTAGTTCTCCTTTAATTCAGTTTAAACATATTTATAATGCCCCACAATGAGTTGGTTAGGATCTATCTCCAAGTACTTTCTGGCCATCATGTTGCCCATTGTAGAGTTGTCTTGAAGGGCCTGGACTGTTATGATCTGCTGAGTTCGCTGTTCAGCCCTGAGTGCTAGTCACAATGCAGCAGGTTGAAGACAGCCTACTGGAGGATTGTCACAACCTTCATAACTAATATATTCAACTTCTTATCTAAGATTTCTTTCATAAGTTTGCAGAAGAGTTCTCAAACTTCACCTCACTCTCCATTTCACTCTTCTCATCCTCATCTTATAGTTAGTTGCAGGCCTTCCCACCAAATTCCCCAAGCTACAGCATGCAATACTCATCAATACACAATCTGAAAGCCCTGTTTCTCCACTCCACAAAAGCAGAGTTGCTATCTGATCTTTGCTCTCATATGATGAGACCTGAGTCTCCTTCAGGCAACAGACATTTTTGACAGAAAAGTGATCTCACCTCCAGACTGGGAGGTATGATAGTCAAGCAGCTCAGAAAGGCATCAGTAGTTATTGGGCGTCCTCAGAGCTTCCAGGTTTTAGAGAGTTTAAGAGAATGCCTCTGACATTTTTTTCCCTGTAGTTTTCTTTATTTTGTGCCAGCTCAGAAAAAAGCTCAAGGCAAATTTTAACAATGTCTTTGTGAATGACTTTCAAGATTTTGCTCTGCTGGAGCATTTTCTTGGGAGATGTTCAGAGGCAGGTCCTCAGAGTCAACCACACCATGGATAACGTTGAGATAATTCTGGTTTGCAAGTACAAGGCTAGCCTGAGCAACTTAGAAAGTCAGTTTCAAATAAAAACAGCTGGGAATGTAGCTCAGTGGTAGAGCGCCCCTGGGTTTAATCCCCAGTAACATACACACACCCACACCCAAACAACAAAAATAAAAACTGTAATATGTTAATTTAAGAACATAGTTTTTCGAGCTGGGATTGTGGCTCAGCAGTAGAGTGCTCGCCTAGCATGGGCAGGACCTGGGTTCGATTCTCAGCACCACATTAAAAAAATAAAATAAAATAAAGGCATCATGTTGTGTCCATCTACAAAAAAGATTCATATTCATTCTCTCTCTCTCTCTCTCTCTCTCTCTCTCTCTCTCTCTCTCTCTTAAAAAAAAGGACATAGTTTTTCTATTAGAAGCCTACAATAAATTCAGACTTATGAAATATACTAAGTTGCTTAAACATTCAGAGTAAAGAATAATTTTCCATGTACTCTAAATTTAGGAGCAAAGAAATGACAATCATATCTAAAAAGAATAAGATAACAAAGTGATACTTATTGCAAACATATAAAGAAGGCAGGTATTTCTTAAGAGACCAATGCCTATTTTATAGTTTATCACCTAAAATAAAAATCATCATTGTCAGGCACGGTGATGCACACCGTTAATCCCTTCTCAGGAAGCTGAGACAGGAGGATCACAAGTTCAAAGATAGCCTGGACAACTTAGTGAGAATCTATCTTAAAATAAAACTGAAAAAGGGCTGGGAATGTAGCTTGGTGACAAAGTGCTTTCCTAGCATGTACAAGGCCCTGAGTTCAATGCCCACTAACACACACGTACACACACGCATGCACACGCATGCACAACACTACAGCAACATTAATTCCAATAAACATTTATACACACACACACACACACAAGTATTCAAAGATTTGTAAAAAGCATTACTATAAAAATCATACTAATTATAAAATTTTTACTGTGCTAAATGGCTATCTTAAAATGGTCATGGATCCTAGAAATGCAGGCTCAACTTTCCTAAAAACCAAAGTAGGGCTGCTATGTAATTAAGGATTAAGGAATTCAAACAGTTAAGACTTTAGCTAACCACTGGAAAAAGATACAGCAGTAAAATATAATTTTAATTTTTTCAATCCATTTATATTACATTATGTTAACTTATATTAAATATATATAGAAGCATATAAATTTATAAGAAATAAAGTACCAACAATCAATAATTTCAAAAAAATATCAATTTTATCTATGACATTTTTAATTGGGATATGTTAGTCTTACCTCCGAAGTGTAATCATCTGCTGTGGTTGAAATCTCACTTTCCGGCTAAAACAAAAGTAAAACATGATTACAATTATGACATTTTTCCCCTGCTAAATATCATACTTTACAAAAAAAAAAAAAAAAAAAAAAAAAATCCTGCTTTACTAAGACGTTGCTGTTAGTAACAATGATAGAAAATTCACAAAAATACTATTAAAAAACTAGTAAAAATTATCCAAATCTTTAAAAATTTCATTTCATTATGAATTATAATGACTTATAATAATGCATATAAAATTTATCACAAGGCATTGTTATAAATACAAAAGTACCAAGAACTTTTACATATATAGTAGATGTCATCTGTAAGCCAAAAGCATCAAAGACACCATTCCTTTAATTCATGTAACTCTTTTAAATAAAAAACTAAATCCTTAACATGCCATCAGAAAAGTTCAAGTTCTTTAAAAGAATCATCAGTTCTTGATGCTAAAAAGTCAATGACTTTGTCAAGCTTCCCTCAGGTGGATGCTAATGACTTTTCACTGCCACTACTTTCTAGTTAGAGGTAGAATGTTTTAAAATCTGGATGAATACTTACATCAAAAGAAAAGACCTGCTCATGCTTAAGCATTTCTTCATTGTTTAGAGTTCTCATTATTGTGGATTCAGGCATCACGGCTGATCCAACACCCTGAGAACTATTTATCAACATCTCCTCACTCTTTGGTTGATCAATATTCAAGCCATGAACATCATTTTTACTGCTTGAGGTTTTCTTCTTTTTTGGCTTCTTATGAGGGTTTTGTCCATCCAATCGAGCTCTTCTTTGTCGAAACTCGGCAAGCTACAGGAAAAAAGTATCATTAACATCAATGATAATTTTTCTTTGGGATCACTTTCTTTAAAAGATCAAACTATCACCAAGTTAAAATGATGATAATAATATAGACGACTTCACAGTTTCAGAATAACTATTGGATTGAATATTCGGGTTGCAAAGGTTGTAAAACTAGGTACTTGTGAATGAACTTATTAAATATTGAGGGGTAAGAAATGAACATGTCAAGTCTAAAGAAGAGGAAATTAGCTGAGTTAGGGGAATAACTATTCTATAACTAGAATCGGGGAATAGAGGGACTCTCATTCACAGTATAATCTCTGGATTTAAGATTATATGAAAATATACACAAAAACAAGGAGCTCCGAACACACTTGTTCTGTTCTACTACTTTATACAAAAGATATCGTCTATAATTATCTTTTATACAAAAAAGATAATTAGCCTATTAGCTATACAAATGCTCACCGCAGCCATATTTATAGTTGGAAAAACTTACAAGTAACTTAAAATTTTAAACAGCAGTGTTTTCTACCCTTTATCATTTGTCTGTCATCATCAGAATTTGTACCAAACCCTAGTCATTGATACATTATCATTTACTTAATATATTTTAAACAGTGTATTTTCTTTAAGTTTATTTTAAAAGGAGATGGAATCTCTGGCATAAATTGAAAGTTAATATCACTTGTTATTTCTTTTAAGAGATAAGTTGAAAATAAAAGAAATGATAAATCTATTATTGAAATTTTAGTTAGAGGTTGCTGAAGGCTATGAAAAAAAAATGGACAAAATAAAAGACTGTTAAAGGCAGACAAGCATCAAACAGATTTTCGTTATCATAAGCAGAAAGAAAACTGAAAAAGGTAAAAACTTTCTTACTATACTATCCAAAGTTTTTTAAGACCTAAAATATTTTCTTACCACCTAAAATCAGAAGTACACATTATATACCAGGTAACACTAGACTAATTATGGTGAACTTATATTAAAAATACCAAGGGGCAAGCAATTGCTATTAAAGACTTTGTGATATAATAGCAGGTATAAACTAGTATTGTAGCATATCTATTTCTTTTCATGAAAGGAAAATTACACTTCATTTTTAAAAAGATAAGGCAAGTCTCAGGCTCATAGCTTTCAATGATTATATCCAGTATGAATTTAAACATCATTATATTCATAGGCATAGGTAAATTCTGGAAAACTACAACCTTAACAACTTTTGTTGACATTTGGAGTTCAGATTTCAGGTATTTTTCCTATTGCTCACTTACATTTTATTTATTTATTCTTAAGAATTTTTTTTTTTTTTTGATGGACACAATACCTTTATTTTATTTATTTTTATGTAGTACTGAGGATCAAACCCACAGCCTTGTACGTGCTAGGCAAAGGATCTATTGCTGAGCTATTACTGTATTTTTTAAAATACAGTAAGTTTTCTGATTTTTATATAAAGCAACTACTGACAAAGACTTTAATTTAATTTGAGCTCCTGAATCACTCTTAAGAGGAGAAAAAAGAAGACCACATGTAAGTTCCTTTCTGCCTTAAAAAGAGGAAATATCTGCCTAGAATAACTGTAACTATTAACCAGACCAATTACAAAGACAGCAAATAAGTTTCTTATTATCTAAAGTATTAAAGCAATCTTGCTAATGTTACTATCAAAATATGCGGCAAATACATTATTTATAAATAACATTTTAGACTTAAATTATCTGCTATAGATGAAGAAAATCATATAAACATGTCCTATTCCCTTAATAAAGATATTTAATTCATAAGTCAGAATAGCTCATGATTATACTTACAGAGTATAAAAATATATCACATTTAACATTTTCCCCAGTTATTTAGTAACTACACAGTGTGTTGAGGAACAGGTGCAAGACCAGTTGCCTCTATTTGCACATTATTAAGCTGCTGGAATGTACTTGAACTACTTGGAGCATAGCAGATCATTCTTAAAAACTCGTTCCCCAGGCCTCCTCCCACCCTTTCCGGCCACCGCCTCCCACCTCTGGCCCGGCGGTCCCCGGCTCTCCTACCAGCGCTCGGCCGATTTCAATCTTTCTCCTTCTTTCTTCGTCCTCCATGGCTTCTGTGGGGTAGGCAGGGAAAGAAAGGGGAGGGGGTCGGGGGCAGAAAGGAAAAATCGGTTCAGACCGAGGTGGGATGGCTAGCTCCGAGACCAAGGCCACAGGGCCCGGCCTGGAGCTGCCTCTCCCCGCCCCCGGAACAAAAACAGTCAGTCGCTGCAATCACTGGCGAATCCTCCTCGTCCACATGAGTACCACCACCTTCGTCTCCACCGCCACCTTCGTCTCCACCTAAACAGAGTGAGGAGGAGTCAAGACACCTCACAGCCGCAGGCGTTGCCTAGCAGTTGCCCAAGCGGCCCCGCCCCAACTGCCTCGCCTGGCAGTTCTAACCCAGTCCTCTGCCCCACCTAGGGCAGGGAGCGTCCAGCTGCCGATCTGCTGAGCTCCCTCTTGCTTTCTCCTGCAGACCCCTTTGCCATGAACCAGCCAGCCCCTGGGGCTCCCCCGCCACCCCGCCGGGTGCGGCTGAAGCCCTGGCTGGTGGCCCAGGTGAACAGTTGCCAATACCCAGGACTTCAGTGGGTCAACGGGGAAAGGAAATTCTTCTACATCCCCTGGCGCCATGCCACCCGGCATGGTCCCAGCCAGGACGGAGACAACACCATCTTCAAGGTAAGGGTTGGGCAGGGTGCTGCCTGGACCTCTAAAGCCACCCCCACCCCTAGGAAGAGGACACACACAAACACACACAAATCTCCTCAAGGCTGGCCAGTCTTCAGCTGCCTTGCCAAGGTGACACCAGGCTTAGACTGGGGACATAGGAGCTGGCAAAATTGTACAAGCCTCCATTCCTAACAACTTGGGAGGCTGAGGCAGGAGAATCTCAAGTTTGATCCACCCTGTCTCAAAATAAAAAATATAAAAGGTCTGGGGATGAAGCTCAATGTGAGAGTACTTCTGGGCTCAATTCTAAGTACCACAAGGAAAAAAAGGAGGCAGCAAGGGGGAACATAGCCATAGGGTTACCTTTTCTAACCTGTGCCTCAGAGCAAAGTTGGGACCAAAAGTCCCTGGGAAAGCCTCTAGTGACTTCTACCTACCCCTGGTTCTAGCCTCATGCCATTAACCAGGAGCACACATTCAGTATACATAGAATTGGAGGTTACCAATTCATCCATAATCTTAATGCTAGGAAGTCCCCATTATCATTTTTATAATAGAAAATATAATAGGATAAGATCATGGCATTTGCAGGGAAATGGGTGGCATTAGAGCAGATTATGCTAAGTGAAGTTAGCCAATCCCAAAAAAACAAACGCCAAATGTCTTCTCTGATATAAGGCGGGTGACTTAAAATGGGGTTGGGAGGGAAAGCAAGGGAGGAAGATTACCTCTAGATAGGGAATAGGGGTGGGAGGGAAAGGGAGGGAGAAGGGGAATAGCATGGATGGTGGAAGGAGACCCTCATCATTATATAAAATACATGGATGAAGATGTGAATTTGGTGTCAACATATCTTATATATAATCAGAGATATGATAAATTATGGTATAATGCTATATTAAGAATTGTAATGCAAAAATAAATAAAATATAATAGGTTTTTTAATAGAAAATATAACTGCTGATAATTTCCAGTTTTCTATGTGTATATGTAATGCAAAATTAGAATCAAGCCATATATTATTTTATAACTTACAAATCTTTTTTCTTTCTTGTTATTTTATTTTTGTGGAACTAGGGATTTAACTCATACCTCAAGTGTGCTAGGCAAGTGTTCTACAACTGAGCTGTGTCCCTAGCCCCTCCTTTTATAAAAGAATTGTATTTTGAGACAGGGTCTCTTTAAGTTGCCCAGGTTGGCTTGACTTGCAATGTTCCCATCTCAGCCTCTGGAGTAGCTAGTAGGTATTATAAGCATGGGCCAGAGCACCCAGGACCTGGACCATTTTCCCCCAACATCAGAACTAGTTTTCCTTTCCAAAATATGCCCACATCACTTGTAGTGACTGTTGAATATTCCACTGGAAAGATTTAGCATCCAACACCAATTTTTGTACTCTTCAGGCTGCTTTTCGTATTTCAGTGTTGAAAACCACGTTTTCTTTTTTAAATTTTTTATTGTTGGTTGTTCAAAACATTACATAGTTCTTGATATATCATATTTCACACTTTGATTCAAGTGGGTTATGAACTCCCATTTTTACCCCATATACAGATTGCAGAATCACATCAGTTACACATCCATTGATTTACATATTGCCATACTAGGAAAACCACGTTTTCATCTAGACTTTCTTAAGTCCTAACCTTTAAATGGTTTCGTTGGGGATAGTTACTGGAACTTTGGGGATAGTTCTGGGTCAAAGAGAATGCTTATTTTTAAAACTTGGATACATGTTTCTTTTTTTTTTAAAGAGAGAGTAGGAGAGAGAGAGAGAGAGAGAGAGAGAGAAAATTTTTTAATATTTATTTTTTAGTTCTCAGCGGACACAACATCTTTGTTTGTATGTGGTGCTGAGGATCGAACCCGGGCCGCACGCATGCCAGGCGAGCGCGCTACCGCTTGAGCCACATCCCCAGCCCCTGGATACATGTTTCTTAATATTTGTACCTGAACTTCCCTTTTCAGAGTTCTTTTTCAAATCCATTTCTTATTTTTCAATATATAACAGTTACATAATTCAAAATGAAAATGGTATAAAATGATTTACAGCAAAGTCTCCCTTGCACCCTTGTCCCAGCTATCCACTCCACTCCCTAGAGGCAATAGTTTTATCAGATTCCATGTTTTGTTTTAGTACCAGGAATTGAACCCAGGGCCGCTCAACCACTGAGCCATATCCTCAGCCCTTTTTTTGTATTTTATTTAGAGACAGGGTCTCACTAAGTTTCTTAGGGCCTCACTAAGTTGCTGAGGCTGGCTTTGAACTTGCAATCCTCCTGCCTCAACCTCAGATTCTTGTTTATCTTTCCTGAGAGATTTCCGTGCAGACAAGCAAAATACCACCTATCTTTTCCCAGCTTTTCACAAAAATGCTAGCGGTATACATACTGTCTGCACTTCATATTTAAGATCAATCAGTGTATAAAAAGTTCCCTCCTTTCTCTTCCTGCATATTCAATTCTCTGAGCTGATCATAATTTAACCAGCTAGACATAATTTAACCAGCCCCCACTATGGACATTGGATATCACAGATCATTTGCTTTTACAAATAGTGCTACAGTGAATAAGCTGTATGTATAAAATTTTGTGTTAAGTCTAATTTTTTCTTTGGTACCTGGGATTGTGGGTGCTTAGCCACAGAGCTGTATCCTCAGCCCTTTTTATTTTTTATTCTGGCCTCAATTCTGGGTACCACAAGAAAAAAAAAAAAAGGAAGGGGGAATCTTGCTAAGTTGCTTAGGGCCTTGCTAAGTTGCTGAGGCTGGTTTTGAACTTGAGATCCTCCTGCCTCAGCCTCCTGAGATTACAGGCATGCACCATTGTGACTGGCTAGTCTATATAATTCTATAGAAACCCAGTTGCTGGGTTTGAGGGTAGAAACTTTTGTAATCCTGACATCACCAAATTGCCATCTAAAATAATAGTAGCAGCTGGGGGTGTAGTTCAGTGATAGACCTTAGCAAGCATCCTCAACATCACCATCAGCAGCAGCAGTAGGAGCAGCGTACCAATAGCTGAAGCACATCCATCCCATTCTATATAAAGGCACAGTTTTGAGTACTTTATGGGCATTGACTCTTGGAGCCCTCACTGATACCCTGTGAATAGGTATTATGAGGAGGATGAAGCAAAGAGAGGCAGAGTGACATGGCAGGTGGCACATGCTGGTTTCGATACCAGCCTGGCTCCAGATTATGTACCCATATCCACCATGTAACTTTGTCCTATGTAGAAACTATACCTCTTTGCCCTGCTAGGAGCAGTGAATCGTGGATACCCCTTAAAGCTTGCGGGGTTTATTGAGCTTGTTGGAACCCCAAGAGAAGGACTATTTCACATCCACTTGTTGCAGATGAGTCCCTCAGCTCAACAAGGCTCAGCCTATGGCCACAGATCTCAGCAAGGACTCCTATAGGACAGGAAGGTAGAGAAAAGGATAGCTGGGGCTTCAAGGAGTGAGGTTCTCCATGGTCAACTGTCCTCTCTTCCTGTCCCAGGCCTGGGCCAAGGAGACGGGGAAATATACTGAGGGGGTGGACGAGGCTGATCCAGCCAAGTGGAAGGCCAACCTGCGCTGTGCCCTTAACAAGAGCCGGGACTTCCGCCTCATCTATGATGGGCCCCGGGACATGCCGCCTCAACCCTACAAGATCTACGAGGTCTGCTCCAATGGCCCTGCTCCCACAGGTACCATGCCTGGTCCTGTATGGACCACCTGGGAGGCTTACTGTGAATGTAGGAAGGCCCAGGGCCCTTCTAGGACATGGTGCTGGGGCTTTGCAAGGTCATTACTCCAGGGCTTGGAATGGATTCAGGGGCCCAGATGGTTCTTCCTCACCACCGCCATTGTTCTGGGCTCTTGGCGTCAGGGGAGAGGTCCCTACCAGTTCCTGGTGGTGGTGCCTTTCATCTCATCCTGTGTTTGGATAGCTTTGGGGAGGGCAGAAGGCCCAGCAGGGCTTTTGGGAAACCTCTCAGGCTGCCCAAATGGAGCCTGGATGTCCCAACTCCTGCATTGTCACTGATTCCCCTCCTGTCCTTTTCTCTCCCTTGCTGTGCAGAGTCCCAGCCCACTGAGGATTATAGTGTATGTACAGAAGAAGAGGAGGAAGAAGAAGAGGTGCGTGGGGGCAGGGCAGTGAGGAGGTGGCTGCATCCAGCTGCCTGCACTGACCACTGACCGACGAGATGGGCTTTGCTGCCCTCCCCTATTTTAGGGTTGAGCGGTCCCTTCCTCTGGAGCCCATGGCCCTCTGCGGCTCTTTTTTATTTTCTTGGGGATCTGAAGGACAGGAACAGAGTGCCTACCTTGTCCCTCCCTGGGCTGTGTTGTTACACAGCATGTCACATTGACTGATTGACCCTCATAAAGGTTGGACTCTCTGGAGGTAGGGTCTGGCCTCAGCTGAGCTGAAGAAAGGAGGGGACAGCCTTGTGCTTCTCCAGCCTTATTTTCTCAGCATCAGAACAGTTTAATAACCTGCCTTCCTTTCTCTCTGCCTTCTTCTCTTTTGCCCATGTCTTCTCTTTAGCTCCAGAGGATGTTACCAGGCCTGAGCATCACAGGTGGGGCTTGGAGGTAGTACGGTTGGGGGTCTAGCAT